CTCATTTAAATAATTTTCCTCCCTACAATAATAAAGCATCTGGTGTTAAACCCTGCAGAGAGTTTATTGAACATCAATTAATTTGCAATAATTTTTTTGACTTCATTAGACCCGACTAATGAATTTTGAATTGAATTAAGTAATGAAAATTTCTACGATTTGAGTAATTTCTCGTTCACTAGTAAAAATGAAGAAAAAAAAATAAAGCGTTTGCACTTTTAAAAATTACTATGTTAAATCGTAAAAAATAAATTTCACATCGCAACCAAATTTCCTAAAAAATTCTTGAATTCGTTTCCACCCACTTCCCCAGTCCCTAAAATCACTAAATCCCACCGAAGCGTTTTCACCATTTTTTAAAAATTATCACGTTAAATCGTAAAAAATGAATTTCACGTCGCAACCAAATTTCCTAAAAAATTCTCGAATTCGTTTCCACCCACTTCCCCAGTCCCTAAAATCACTCAATCCCACCGAAGCGTTTTCACTATTTTTTAAAAATTATCACGTTAAATCGTAAAAAATGAATTTCACATCGCAACTAAATTTCCTAAAAAATTCTCGAATTCGCTTCCACCCACTTCCCCAGCCCCTAAACTCACTAAATCCCACCGATCCAAGTACTCCCCCCCTCATTTAAATAATTTTCCTCCCTACAATAATAAAGCCTCCGGTGTAAAACCCTGCAGTAGTGAAACTCGTGGGACAGTCAGCCCCGGCGTCCGACTACTTACAGGTGTTATCCCCTCCCGCGGAGAGGTAAGTAGAGCGTTCGTGTCTTCCTCCCCGGAATGAGATTCGACAGTCGATAGACAGATCCGTGAGAAACCCCCCAGACGTCAGCGGGAAAAGGGCGAGCAAAAGAAACCCGAGGGGGGAAGGGAAGAAAAAAAAATTGACAAAGGACGAATAATAATCGCGGATCGATATATCGTTTGCACGAAAAAAAAAATAAAGCGGGGGGCGCATGGAGCAGAACAGAGGAATGGAAGAGGCTTATGTTTATACATATGTCCCGCACATGGTGTACGTTTGGAGCTGGTGATCGCATACAGGCGCGATGTCACATAGCGCACATGCACGAAAAAGGCTCCTAGTGTGCGTGCGCGCACAGTGGCACTAGTGAAATTTCCAATATTAGAACGACCAGTGGAGAGACAGGCCAGATGTCTACCGTACACCGCGACTTGTGCCCATGAGACTAACGCTTGCCGCGGTTTTCATTACAAAAATGTCACGCACAGCCTCGTCGTTGTATGCCTCGGACGTAACGTACAGATATACATGTTACACTGGGGTTATGGTTAAAAACGTCTTTCGCCGAACATTCGACGTGTCTATCTTGTCCAGCGGGAGGGTACAGCGATACAAACGAATGAAGGGATGTGACAGGGAAAATTAAGTGTCAGGGGGCACTTTGATCTTGTGAGTCGAGCGAATAACAGTATTTTCGTTATTTGGGGGAGGGATTTTTAATGATCGAGGGATCAACGGGGGTGTAATTGAGTTTTGTGGAAAAAACGAGTGGACAATGGCTTTTTTTAATGAGGAGAGCAATTGGTGCTAATAAATTAGCAAGTATTCTTTGAAATTGTTATTTGGTTTTCTTCTATTTTTTTTATGCATATATACATATATATTATAAGGATATACATATATTTATTCTTTTTAATTCTAATACTTATTTTTATTTGAAAAAGCGAATGGACGATTGCATTTTTTTATGAATGAGTTATTGTCGCTAATTTCATTAGAAATTCGCTAAGAATGTCAATTTTTCCGAATTTGTGAAACGGCAAATTTTAATTGGTAAAGCTTATTAAAGTCTGTATTAAGGAAAAAATGCATGAAATTCGATTGATCCCTTACAGGAATATTTTGCTATCCTAATACAAAAAATTGGAAAATTCGGAAAAAAATTTGGGAGGAATCAATGACGGAATAACACATCTGTTACATAATTTTTACCAAATAATCAACGTTTTAAGAATTCTATTTACATTATGAAATTGAACTCCTCAATTCAAACAACTGGAGTGGTCCAAATGGAAATGCAATTTGATTAATCAAATGCTCATAATCATCGGAATTTAAATGAGCTTTTAATCACGAAAATTAGTGGAATGTCAGTCGAGTTAACCCAGGTCTCTCTGCTATTGACAGTTTATGTACGTTTAATTTCCACGTGTCTCGCGTCAATGTCATATCCACTGTTCCCAGCGCAAAGTTTCCAAAACTAATTGGATTATATGCCAAAAATGTGCCCTGAAACGCGAGAAAAACTTTGCATCAAGTTCCGAATTAAATTCTCCATCTCGATAAACGACACGGAAAAATTCATTTTCAAGTTGGCAGAACTTTTTATTCTGGTCTGGATATTCAACAGGAACAGGTCATCAAAAGAAGTGGAGAAGAAAAAGACAACTCGTAAGTAGGAGATGAGCACTGGAGGGCGGGGGGTTTCGAGGGAAAGAGGTCGAGTCTCCGGCAGAACTCTTGATGCTCTTTGAACGTGGGGAAACTGCCCGCAACACCTGACTGACTCGACGGACGCATATATGGCAAGTTCAAATCGTATATACGTGCACCCCTTGAACAGCCAGGGGGTATTTTAGAGTCCCGCGTGAGAGGGAAAGATTAATAATACAGAGAAGCCAATGCCAGAGGCCCTTCTGCCGCTTCTCTTCTGTTGCCAACAGTTAATCGATATTATATATATATATATATCTACATATTTATATATTTCCGCGGACGTAACACGTATCCCTTCACTTCGCAGCTCTCTTCGCGATGCCTAAATCACCTAATTGAAGAAAAAAACCTATCAATCAATAATTCAATCGCGAATCGGTAAATCGGTTCAAGTTTTCGAGGAATAACTCCGAACTTAAGGGAGATACCGAAATTTTCGTAATGACCTTTTTTACAGCCCTCAGTTCGCTCCACAAAAAAGGTCATGACAAAAATTTTGCCATCTCCCCCAGATTTCGAGATATTCAGTGAAAACTGAATGCCTTGATAGTGCAATCCTGCTAACGACAAATTAATTGATTAAATCGATTGTATTATAAATATGCAATCAATACGGAATAAAATTGCTGGTATTGAAACGAAGTGAATGTAGCGTCTGTGTACATTCCGAAGAAATGGAGATTGACGAGTTTGAGGCCGGCGATTATTGGAGGGAATATCGTGCGAAAGTATGCAGCTGACGGTTTTCCTGGTTGCAGTGGTAGCCCCTCAATTCCTTTTCAAACCCCTCCCCGAGCTTCTTCTTACTCAAGAAAACTTTGAGTATATACCCTCGGGACAGCCCTCGCCCCTCTCTCGTCTCATTTTCTCGGTATCCCACCGTAATCCCCACCCCCATTCATCCGTCGGGCAAGAGATTCGACGTGTCAACGCATTAAAATTTCTATTACGAGATCCAAAATTACAACTGCCGGATCGATTCGCGTATTGTCACGTTGAAATCCTGGAATTCACCGGAAGTGACAGGTTTCTCCGGGTATGTTATTTTGGAATGAATGCGCTGTGCGGGACCACGACGCACTGAGTATAGAGCCCATGACGGCTCAATGTTCAGGCCTGTCACGTGCACACCTACGTTTTGCTTATCCCCTCTCATTTAGTCTCTGACACTCTTCAATAATTGTTCGAATATGTTTTTTGGCCGTTGGAATTTTTTGAGAAATCAGGTGAGGACAGGTTGGTATCTTAAATGGTTGAGACACGATGGTCAATGAGTTATAATGAAGATTAGGGGTCCCAGAACCTACGCAAAACCGCATTTTTAGCTGAGATGAAACTAAACTATGTGAAAATTATTCACAAATTTGTAAAAAAAAACCTAATTCGAATTTGAAAGCCCCCAATAGTGCAACATTTTGTAATTCTGGGCTCAAATGTGTGTAATAATCGGATGTAAATAATAATCATGTAAATAACCCAATGGAAGGGTTAATAGTTATCAATAAAAAAAATTGGTTGATAAGTAGAAATCAGTGGAAGCGGTCAAACAGGCCAGTTTTCAATGAATATCTCGAAATCTAAAGGAGATAGCGAAATTTTTATCATGACCTTTTTTGTAGAGCAAATTGAGAGCTACAAAAAAGGTTATTATACAAATTTTGTTATCTCCCTTAGATTCAGAGATATCCCTCGAAAACTCGGCTAAGGGCTTAATCTACTTGAACCGTTTTACCGCTTCGCTAACGAAATGAAGTTGAAGTTAAAGAATTCTTTGCGATGGCCCAACGTTTCGTCTTCCAGCGAATACCTCAGGGGCCTCTTTATTATTCCAATAGTTTAAACCTTTACAAATGAACAAATTAAAAACCGAAAAAACCTGTTTTTCTAAACAATGAATTGTAAAAATGTTGATAGACACTAATTACGTTGGGGAACATCATTGTATTAAAATACTCGTCAAGTTGACAATAAAATTTGATGATATTATAATGAATGAATAATAATGAACGAGGAAAACACAACAAACGTGAAAATGTAAAAATATTTCGTGCCCTTTGACGAAAATATATCGCTATTGTCTTTTAAAAAATAATAAATTTATATGACTTACTGTTATTCACTTCGATGAATTCCTCAAAAGTCGTCGAGTACTAAATAATTTACGCGTACGACATTCGACAATAATGCGTTTCCGCACACCTGTCAAAATTCATCACACATTCCTCACTATTCCATTGTTTAAATAATCCACCGTTTATCTACTCCGCGTTTTCACTCCCCTGCGACCAGAATTGTTACCACTGAATGGCTAAATTATCAATGTTTGATCGATGAATTGTGTCAGAAAATTTTTACGTCGATCTAATTTCATCAGTTGCACGGGAGGTAAATAATACATGTGGTGTGAACGACAGCCGGCGGCCGACTGAATAAACTGAATTCGAGGGAAGACGGTGTGTGTCTGCCTCGACGGCGCACGTCCCGCCAGGGGGGTAGAGAGCTTCTCACGCCCCCTCCCCCGGTTGGTTTCTATTTTTTCCCTTCGGATACCCCGTGTGTACGTGATGTATCATTCATGATTTTTCATTCTTCTCATTACTAAAATTAAATCGGGTCTCTAGGGAAAAGCCAAATGCCAATAAACATAATTTCAAAATTGACTAAAGAAAAGTAAAAATTTTTTAAATTACTAAATAAATTTTTGGGGAGTTCTTGGCATTTTATTTCACCCCAACCACCTCTAAATTATTAAATTAACTAGTCGTGGAAATATATGCATCCATGACTAGAACTTAATTGCACGCCAATTGAATTTGAAAGCGAATGGGCACTCGTTGCAGTTCACGAAAAAATTAAACGCATCGGTCCTAAAACTTGGTAAAATATTCATGTTTTTACATGTATTGCACCGTGTGTTTTACGACTATTTTTCGGAGGGATATGTAGACAAAACAGAACAAAATTCAACGCAATGTTTATGGAAACAAAAATTTTAATTTCGCAGGCCCCTATTGATAAACCAACTTATTCCGAGTTTCTAAATTATTATTTTGAAAAGGAACAATAACTTCTAATCAAACATTCGTGTTTCACATCAGGAATCGTGCTCAACATGCCGCTGATCATCAATATATCAAGGAAATACGTAAATCAGTAGCGAAGTGGTAAAACGATACAAGTCGATTTTGACTGTCGACCAGGTTTCAATGAATATCTCGGAATCTAAGGGAAATAGCGAAATTATTGTAATTTCCTTTTTTGTGGTTCTCAGTTCGCTCTACAAAAAAGGTTATGACAAAAATTTTGCAACTTCCCTTAGATTTTGAGATATTCATTGAAAACTGGGCAATAGTCAAAATCGACTTATACCGGTTTACCACTTCACTACTGAATTATTCTAATCGTCATTTCCGTTTTGAAATCCCAGCGACACATGAGAAAATCACTATGTACATAGAGTACATAGCCAAATCCGAATATATGTACTGGGACATTGTAAACGGCTCTGTGTGCTTCTGACGCGTCAATATATTTCCGTGAAGAAAGGCTCTGCCGATGAAGCTGAGAAATAGCTTCGTTCTCACGCGCCCCCTCTCCTTTCAGCCCCACCATCCCGTCACCTTGTCACCTTCACCGCAACTACAAATTAAATTCACAAACTACTCTAATTGATGTCTCACCAGAGTTCAATAAGTGAATGAAAAAAAAAAATAAGAAAAAGCAAAAAGAAATAAAAAGGGATGAAATAAAAAATGAAATAGCGAAATCGAATTCACACATCCGCGTGATTCAAGAGGTGTAGGTACATGTGGTTGACAGGTTCATGACAAAGTGCTAATAATACGTGTATAGGCGTAATAGGCACGTTCACGCGCATCTGTCCTTTCCATTCTGTATAACGACAAAGGTACTCTTGGGAAATGTCCGGGAATTTATTTTGTTAAAATCATTTTATTCCAACGGATTACTCAATTGACACGAATAACACTTAAAGAAATGGACTTTTACCATTCCCCGATTCCACTGTACGAATAACATCTAATCCATCCGAAAACACTTTCGAATTTTTCCGAATCAATCCTCCATTTCTCAAAATAATGGGGCCGAAAATAAATTTAAACCCTCGAATACCTCAAAAACATTTATCTGTTCTCCACCTGCACAAATAATTCGTCGATTTACATTGGAGACCCGCATCATCACCTCTACAGCAACAAAACAAAAAAAAAACTTGAGTGGAAAAAACATTCAATGAAACATTAATTGAAATCTCTCGGTGATTATTCCAAACGAAAAGTGATAATGATAAAAATGAAAATAGGTAAATAAATGGATAAATGACTCTCGCATATGCATTTGCACTCCAATTCTTTCGCTCCGCGTGTAAATACCTCGAGGGCGTATATGTAGAACGGTCAGAATTATATCGGACGTCAATTGCACGATGAAGAGATCGATTATATTTTGCGGTGTCGGGTGTGCGGTCGCTTGTAATTTACGAGTTATAACCGGTACCATTGAAGTCATCCGACGAGATTTTTGGATATTTCAAGATTTTTGTGTTATGTCTTTCAACGAATCTATTGCTATTCTCACGTTGAACATAACAACATTTAGAATGTGAAGCAACATATTCATTAGAAAATTAAACACAGAACAACCAAAACGTAAATTACGGTTACATAAATGTAATTTACAATTTCGCTTACGTAATTTAAAAAAACAGTGCTTTTAGTATTTGCAAATTACGATTATTCTTCCCCTATATTTACGTTTATTTATCTTTTTTTTTTTTTTTCTTCTCGTATACCCTTTCGGGTCTTTACGATTTGTTCCCTTCCCACCCCCCAACCACCCGTACCGCATTCGCCGAAGGACGAGGGAAAACATTATTTTTTTAAACATTCGTTGTTTATGAATAAATCATTGAAATTGTTTAATCTTTCGGAAACCTCATTTTTTTAGGCATGAAATCGATTTTTGGTAAAATGCTGAATATGAATAAATTTGTTACGATTCCGAACACATGATTTTTATGGTGGAAAATTGATTGTTTATAAATTATTTATAGAAAATGCTCGTAATTTTCAAAAAATGCAATTTTTTAGTTATTTCACCAATCTTCCTCCAAAAGTAAACTTTCTAATTCTTTTTTCAGATTTTTAAAATGTTTTCTAACGGTTAAATATCGAGATTCAAATTCAGACCTGCAAAGTTTAAATAATAAAATCATTGTAAAATGTCCGGAAACTTGGGGTCAAATGGGGCTCAAATGAAAGCTCTGATGTTCGACTGCAAAAGTAGAACAGCATTTCACTGGAGAAAAAATAGCCAAAGTACTTGGATATCCTTAATTAAGGACAATGAAAAAAAAGTTACTTCAAGCGTAAAATATGATGTGTTTTATTTTGTAAATTACGCACAATAAATCGTAAAATAATTTACAGTTTCTCAATCGTAAAATACGATTAGTGAATCGTAATTTAAGTTTAGGTTTGTCTGTGTGAAAAAAAATCAACAATAGATGAAAATATATCATTTAACTTATGTCAAGACGATGTTGACAATCATAAATCGATTTTCCTCAACAATTGGTGTAATTTTCACAGTAGCTTAAAATTGCAACGACCTTTGCAAGTGACGCAGATTGAATCCTCGCGATCGGGATTCACCGAGTATATAAAGCTCGCAGAGAGAGCCTTGGAGGCACGTCAGCACCAGAGAGATGCCCAGAGATGCCAATAGCACCGTGATCCCATGAGATGAAGGAATTCCCCGTGCACCGCACATTTTTATTACTGCGTGGAAAAATATAATATTTCTCTCCCTCCTAGTCATTTTCCCAGGTAATTTTTGCTTGCAGGGGCCCATTTCATTTTGTCACGGCCCATTTTTAATGCAATTTAAATGAACAAATAGTTTTTTTCATAATTATTAAAAGAATCGCCAGTAAAATCAATTATAAATTAGAATAGTGATGTGAGAATTGGAAAAAGGGAATTGCGTTTATAATAAAAAAATTCATTTTGTAAAAATATTTTTTTTTCGTGATTACTGAAAGACTCATCAGTAAAATCAATTAAGGATATCCAAGTATCTTTTACAGTTTGGTACAGACCACACTATAGATTCAACTATTTTCAATCATCGAATTTGTCAATAAAATTGCGTGAGAAAAGTTTGAGAAAAATCATGAATATTCAAATTTCATTTTGCACAGAATTATTATTTTTTAAACATTCCTTGTTTATAAATAAATAATTGAAATTGTGTTAAACTTTCGGAAACCTTCTTTTTTAGGCATGAAATCGATTTATGGTAAAATTCTGAATATGAATAAATTTGTTGCGATTCCGAACAAATGATTTTTATGGTAGAAAATTGATTGTTTATAAATTATTTATAGAAAAGGCTTATAATTTTCAAAAATTGCAACTTTTTAATTATTTCCTCAATCTTCCTTCAAAATTAAACTTTCTAAAATTTCTTCAGATTTTTATAATGTTTTCTAACAGTTCAATATCAAGATTCAAATTCAGACCTGCAAAGATTAAATAATAAAATCTTTGTAAAATGTCCGGAAACTTAGGGTCAAATGGGGTTCAAATGAAAGCTGTGAGGCTCGACTACAAAAGTAGAAAAGCATTTCAGTGGAGAAAAAATAGCCAAAGTACTTGGATATCCTTAAATCAGAATTGTGAAATCAGAATTGAAAAAAGGGAATTGCGTTTATAATAAAAAATTTAATTTTGTCACAGCCCATTTTTAATGCAATTTAAAAGAAAAAAGTGCTTTTCATAATTACTGAAAGGATCATCAGTAAAATCCATTAAATCAGAATTGTGAAAGAGAATTAAAAACAGAGAATTGCGTTTTAAAAAAAATAAATAAAATTGTCCACTTGTCATAAAAGTTTTAAAGCATTAATTCGGATCATTTGAAATCGAAACGTTGTTAATTTTGGACAACTTGCAACAATGAGTAGTCGTCTCAGCGCACACGGAAGTCTAGCGATTCTCCTGTCATCTCGATATGTGTACTATATACAACGCGATTACCAACAAAAAAGCGAAAGTATCGAGTGGAGGAACAGGTGACAGAGATAAGGCGACAAGCCAGCTGCTTCCGTGTGTTGCCACAGAAAAAAAAACTACATTGTCCGCCGAAAATCCACGAATTTGTAATCGTCTGTTAGGAATTTTCCTAAAAAATAAACTATCAGAAAATCAGTTCCAGGAAATTTGTAAGTATTTACTCGACGAACATTTCGGGGGCTGGGATACTTTAACTTGCAGATTTGGGTTGGAATAAAAATACGGAAGGAGAAAAAGAGAGATTAGAAAGAAAGTAAGAGAGGATGCAGAGAAGTGGATGGATAGAAAACAGCTGAGGCACAGCTGGTTCTCTGGCATCGCGAAGGCTCCCGTCTCTCGCCCTTACTCTTCTATTCCCTCCAGCCGCGTTTTACGGTCTTTCAATGAGTATATGTACACCGAAAAGGGTGTGTGCGCGCTCTCCACTGCGCTTCACTGGCATTTTCAGGCGCATGAACACACGTGGCGCATATGTAACGCTGTTCGCAATTTCGCCGTCTGGTCCACCTAAAACTCGAGTTTTTCTCGGCTCTTTTATTTTTGCTTCCGAAATGAATTTTTCGATTCTCTAATTTTGCTTAGGAATAACTCAGAATTTCGTGAAACATTGAGATATGAAGTTTTTGGAGAATGGCTGCAGAATTCTGAGAATTTTTTTAGAAATTTTTAGAAAATGGACTAATGTGAGAGATAAAAATCTGTAATTCTGTAAGTTGGTATTGTTTGGGAGAACGTCTCGGCGAAATTCCAGCTCAATCAGACTAGTAGTTTTTGAGATACAGCGATTTCGAAAATTTTTTCTTTTCTCAATATCTCGAAGACTAGTGCATCAAATGAACTTTTTTGGTGTCAAAATATTCTTTATGATAATATGCCTAGCTAATTCGCTTCTTTATTTTTTTTGATAAAATTAACGTGAACACGATAACGCTTGAAATTTTTTTTAGTAGCATTCTAACTTTACTATATTACAGGCTGGGGTTTCAGACGGACGAAGTCGAATGAATAGTTTCAAAGATATTCAATTTTTTATGTAAAACTTATTGTTCAATCCCTCAAAAATTATTCATCCGATTTCAATGTTTTTTTTCAAAATATTCGTCTTGATATCTCCTATCCAGTTCTTTCAAAATAGATAAACCCATTCCTACAAAGTTTACGAGGTATTGACGTTTTTCTATTTTTCTTGTCTAAAAAACAATTGCTTTGACATTCCATTACATGAGTGAAGAATGTGGTAAAGTTCCAAAATGTTGAGGAATAGTTAGCATCATCGAGTCGCACTCCTGTGTAAATTTCTTTTTGAAATAGAGCAGTTGATGTAAAAAACGTTTTTCGCCTAAAATGACATTTTTGATTTTCACATGAAAACATTTCCTGAAAATGGAGTCGTGCAGACATGCCCATCCAACTGGATAAAACCAAAATTTAATTCTCAATTTTAAAAGGTCAAACGTTTCGAGGAGACGTTTTCAATAAAAATTGCCACTTGTCAATAAAAAAATGAAATATTCATCAAAATAATTTTTTCGCCGTTACTAAACTTCGATCGATTCAAGAGACCATGAATAACAGATTAATTGAGTAGAAAGAGGTTTTTTATTAGACATTCAAAGAAGCCGGAATTTTCTATTATTTTTTTTCAATTGTATTACATAAACAGTTTCGCTTATTGTCTTAGAGATCTCGTGGTAAAAATAGGCTCGTAATTCAGACTTACATTGTCGTTAGTTCATTTTTCATTTACTTTCTTCTCAAAATTGTTGGGATTTTCGCATTTTTTTCATTTTTTTTCTTTCATTAGGCTATGGGTCAGAGTTTTTAGAACATTAACCAGTGTCTGACGACGTTTCCTCCAGATTACTATTCTCGTTGTTGCTATCCGTGGACGAGCTGTTGTTACTCTTAATTCGTCGTTTGCGCAGCTTCGCGAATTGAAACTCCTCGAGTGGAACTGTACATCAACAATTTTAAACTAATTATTTCATCGTACATGGGATCCATGCGTCAAAAGAATTGCAATGATTCATGTAGGGCAGTAGCATTCAACAGGAAATAAAGAATAGGCCCCTGAGTGTACAAAAACAAAATGAAAATTTGTATTTTTTCTCTTCTTTCTTATTTCCATCCACGAGTGCACAATTGTGATACAACCTTCATAGACTTATACCAGTGTCAAAGTATCCAATCGTTTTCATCAGTTTGCTGGAATTTAGATAAATAGAATTTTGATACATATTTTATTTGAGCAATTCACGAAAATTATGTACTCTGACATTGGTATGTACACATGTAGTGCTGTTGAAACATGGAGCGTAATACGATTGTCAACATTCGCTCAGCAGTTAATTATTTTTGTTTAATTATCCATATTTTTCATGAACATAGAGGAATTTTTTTAAAATTCATCTAAGAGTATTCGCTTAAGAATTAGCACCACAGACAAAATACAGCCTATCCATTACTCTTGATCGAAATTAAATGGATTATCAAGGAGGTGGGGCCATGAGAGATGTGGAGAAAACAATAAACTGCCCTAGATTATTGTCCATTTGCATTGTCGAATTCCTGCTTTGTAAATTTAATGTGTTCAGAGTTCCCAACTTGAAATATTTCAGAAAATAATGACCACGTCCTCAATTTTTTAGGTAATTAACAAGATTTTTTGCATTTTTTTAACGTAAGTCTCGAAATATCTTCATTATTTCATTTGTTTTGCACTTGTTTGGTTTCCAGAAGCCTCAGGAAGCTTAAATCATAAGTGAAACATTGCAAATTGACAATAATCTAGTGCAGTTCATTGTTTTCTCCGCATTTCCTATGGCCCTGCTCCCTCGACACAAACTACGGAGATGAATAACAATTTCATTAAATGGATTATATTTAATTTATGTAAAAATACATTTACACATTTAAACAACCGAATCACTAGCAATTTATGACAGATCCTCAAAAATTTATCTTTCCTTTCATATCAGAGAATTTCTATTAATTGAGCATTTTAGCTTCCTAAATTATCAATTCACCGAAATAATTAGCAATTAGCAATGTAAAAGCGTCTGTAATCATTCATTGGTTGAATATATAACTGCAGATTCTTTAAAACTATCAGCAAGCAGAGGATGTTCACAATATCATGAGTTTAACAATTGAACTAATAATAAAATTGATATAATAAATATTCAGAAAGGCGACATCGATTGAATGATTTATTTTATGTCTTGTTGATTACCATCAGAATCAGCGTCTCTGTCATTATCAGTGACTGGTGCTGTTGGTAGGGGAACGATCTCTGGCTCGAGGGGTTTAGGTCCCTGATCAATGTCCTCAACTAGTACTTCCTCTGCTAAACTACTTCTTACAGCTTCTGCAATACGACAATTGTTCTAAATTAATCAATTAGAATTAATAATAACGATAATATTGAATTATTCGATTCATTTCCATTAAAGGAGGGAATTAAAATATCTTTACATAACTTTCCACTTCTTTGTGACGTCCTAGGAAAATGAGTGGATGGGATTTGGATGAGGTAGGAGGAAAACCAGGATTATTCTCAATATGAATAACCAGAAATTTTTTTTTAGAGTAGATTGGGGTAAAATGGACACCTTTGACTTTTTTAAAAATGTTAATGAGGGGTTGAAATGTTGATAAAATTTAATAATTTCTCTTTCAATACAAAGAACAATTCTTTCCCCTTGTGGTGAGCCTAAACTGAGCTCAATTGATTAATTTGTTTCTGAGTTATGAATAATTTTAAAAAAGTCTAAAGTGTCCATTTTACCCTACCCTCCCCTACTGCAAAAATGGAACAGTGAAATGAAAGTATAATTACCATTGACTGCCTGTGGATACTGCTGATTGAGTTTGTTTCTGACCACTCGAATCTTTTTGAAAATGTAATCCAAATCCTTCTTCATCTCTACCAGGAGAGCTGTGTGCTTCTTGAATTCAATGCCAGCTGATTTTAACCGGTTCACAGACAGCTGATTGCAGTTTGTCAACATTTCGTTGGTCTTCTCGAACCTCTGTAGCCTGCAACAATCATCAGATATCAACATCATCAGAGGAATAATAAAATGACAAGAGTTATTTCTAATGTAATTTTTTCTTCTCAAAATCTCGAAATCTAGAATTTTGTTTTAACAACTCGTTGCTGAATGCTGATGGATAATTCATCGTTTTGTTGCATCACTCACATTTGCTTCTGTGCTCTTATCATAGACTCGACATCCTGCTGGTCAACAATCCCCGCCAGTCCCTGAATGAAAACCTCAGGAGCTGTGTAGTTCTGAAAGCACTCAAAACTTCCAGCATCGGACTCCGGGGTGCCCTGAGCTGCTGCCATTTTCCCTCGCTATTTATTATCTCCAACAATCAGAGATAATCCTCCGTCATTTCACTTTGATCAGCCTCTTCTGAGATCGCTGCAACCGTATCTCCATCCTTCGTACGTTTTCTCCATCAAAACACAACGGGCTCTATCGATTTTCGTCACTCCGAAATGTTTTTCTTGGTTAACCCCGCACACACGTATGCTATGACGCACACACATACACGCACGCAGGCCTAAGCGTCCGCCATTGATCGAAAAAAAAAGGAAACTACATCACAAACGGAAGATGCAGCCACACCATGCGGTGTAGCTCCAAACTTGGCGCGCACTGCAAACAAAATTGAAAGATTGCGAGAAAAGTCACAGTCACATGACGACTGTAACATTAAATAATTATCGAGTCATTAGCGGTGTGCCTCGGTCACTGAAAAAAATTGTCGACAATTATTGGACGGTCATTACATAAACGTCTATATCTGCAGCCGAATCGCGCGAGTGGTCCAAAATAAATCACCTTGACTGCAAGACAATTCAATCTTTAGTGAAAATTATCTGCGAGTGGACATCCTCGATTGTCATCCAGGTAAAATATTCTCGATTTATTACTCATCATTGTCTCATTTTCCTCGTCATTTGTTTAGCTAGAAAATGGGCAAGCCCATATTGAAGGGGTCGAGAGTATGAGGTTAACTTGACGAGACGAAAAACCGATGGAAAATGTGGAAATAATTTTGACGAATGAATAAAGCCCTCAATTTTTCTATTCTGTGTTCAGATAATGGCCTTCTACTTGATGAAAGTGCCCTCGGTGTCTAGTAGCATTAACCAGTGGCTGCATCGAACCTGTCAAATAGTCATTACACGTGACTTCGTTGAGGCCCCACCGAGGACGAAGGGCGGCCCCATCGAGGTGCTGAGGGGTCGCATCTCCAGAGGGGAACTCCTGGAGGATGAGTATCAGATGAAAATTGCTCAGAACCTTCAGACTGTCTTTGAACATGTGCATAAATACACACCGGAGAAGCCAGGCTTCTTCAGCAAGTGGATTGGAAAGGGAAAGAGGAGGAGAAAACCTCCTAAGGGATTGTACCTCTATGGTGCTGTTGGGGGAGGTAAAACAATGTTGATGGATCTTTTCTATGATTGTTGTCAGGTAAAATGAAGTTATTGTTGACAAAATCAAAACATTTTTGTGTGGTTCACGATTATTCTGCATAGGTGCTAAAGTGTTGATGGAAGGGACAATTGGCCTGGATTCTGGGCGGTTAAATGACTAATAAACAAAGAATTAAATTAAACTTTTCCATTACCGGACACCTTTCGGTTCCTTACGGATTCAGACACTTGGGTTTTACCCCTTGTCACCACTATTTCCTTATTGTTTTTGATGAAATTGTTTATTGAAATACTAGCAAAAACAGAACTTTTAAAATTTTCATTCTGTTATTTTTTAATGTGATCAGCAACTCTCTGTTTCCAAAGTATAATTTCGTGACTTAAGGTCCGGCTGTCTATCTTTCGAAAGTTATCTGGATTGTTTTTATCTTTCGTAATCCAAAATTGTTAATTGAGTGGTACATCATGTAGAAATTCCCAAAAATCATGATAGAATGATGAAAAAGAATGGAAAAAATTCTGAACTTTTTCAAAGAGCGTTTTTAATTGAGATTCAGAGTGAGTTGAAGAAAGTGGAAATTACAAATATCTGATTCGCTGTGGCAAATTATCTATTAGCTGTCATTTTCCATGGTGGATAACAAAACACTAATTCCTCATGGAAAGTGACAGCTAGGAATCTCAATTTGCAAAACAGTGATATGTAGTCATCTGCCATTTTTATGTGATAAAAGTGTGATTAAAAAATTCTCCAAAATATTCCAACTTTTTTCAAAGAGCCTTTTCCGTAATAAATGTCTCTGTGCAGTGTGGGAAAAAAATTACGAAATCAGTCTTCCCCCTGCATGGTATTGGGTGACAGGCCGCCATTTGTCACCGTAAATCAGATACAGTTTTCAATTTCTTGTTATTCAACTTATTCTGAATATAAATTAAAAATGCTCTTTCAAACAATTGAGAATTTTTTCTACTTTTTTTTTATTATTCATTCATAATTTTTCAAAACTTCTGCANGCAGTGTGGGAAAAAAATTACGAAATCAGTCTTCCCCCTGCATGGTATTGGGTGACAGGCCGCCATTTGTCACCGTAAATCAGATACAGTTTTCAATTTCTTGTTATTCAACTTATTCTGAATATAAATTAAAAATGCTCTTTGAAACAATTGACAATTTTTTCTACTTTTTTAAAATGACTCATTCATAATTTTTCAAAACTTCTGCATGATGCAGGACTTAATTGACACTTTCAGATGACGAAAAATGAAAAAAAAACATCGAGATAACGTTCGAAAGATAGTACACCCAGGCCTTAAAATGCCTTTAATCATCAGGAATAAGAAACGTAACATGGCTACACTGAGAGTTCAAACAAGTCTTGTTTGGGCCAACAAAATCGCTAGTTGAAAATTGCCAAAAAGAATTTGTTTGTTTCAAATTTGAAAGTCTCAAACATGAATAATTGCTCTGCTTTCGACAGCAACTAAATATTTGGCTCAAGGGGCGGATAATTCACACCAGACGGTGCCTTTTCAGGATGAAAATATCTCATATAGAGGAAAATTTATCAACAAATATTTTATCCCCAAGTTACAAGATTGCTATCATATCATTATTATTGTTTCATTTAAGGGTTCATTTCTTGTCTGTGATTATTAGACAGCCGAAACGAAAAACTACTATCCCTTGTTTCGCATAAAACAAAGATTTTTCGGGAGCAAAATACGTATGGGAGTATCGAATAACGAAGGAGTAGTGCTAGAAATGACATTTCTTGCGTGTACAGAGAATGGAATTTTTTTTGAACTACTAAATCTATTTTTGCGACAAAAAATTTTCATTCCAGCGCACTCTGCATGTTTGGCACAAAAAAAATATTTTTTGATAATTTTCAAAAAACTATTTTCTTGGCACAAGTAAGACTTATTTGAGAACTTTCTTCGCCTTCAGACCGATTGTCTCTTCCATTAAAGAACCCTTACATGAGCTTAGTAGACACATCAGTGAAATTATAGGAAATTTGAAAAGCCATGTTGTACGATACACCCAGAAAAATAATGTATTTGAATGAAATAAACTTTATTTGAATCGAATAAATTCTCCATTAGAATCAGATAAACGATTTATTTGCGTCAAATAAAGTTCATTTAATTCAAATGAACCATTTTTCTGCGTGTACCTCTAACAAATTTATATTTTAATATTCTAGGTTGAAAACAAACAAAGGGTGCATTTTCATTCCTTCATGCTGGATGTGCACAATAAAATTCACGAAGTCAAGAAGACAATGGTAAGGGACTACAGTAGTACGAAGCTTGAGCCATTTGATCCGATCCCCCCAGTAGCTGATATGATAACCCAGAGGGCATGGCTCCTCTGTTTCGACGAATTTCAGGTAAAGATTCACCACCGATTTAATTATCACTATTAATAATAATTCTGAGGCATTTTATTTTCTCAGGTGACCGACGTAGCCGATGCCATGATTCTCAAACGATTATTCACCTGCCTCTTCGATAACGGAATTACTGTGATAGCCACCAGTAACAGATCTCCCGACGATTTATACAAGAATGGACTGCAGAGAGGGAATTTCGTGCCCTTCATCCAAGTACTTAAGGACCACTCTGTGGTGGAGTCTTTAGACTCTGGGATTGACTACAGACTGATGAGGGCAGGCTCCAGCAAAGAGACGACTTACTTCATCAAGGGTGAGGATGCTGATGATGCTGTTGATAAAGTTTTCAAGTACTTATGTTCCATGGAGAATGATATTGTGAGGCCTAAAGTACTTTCCATAAAAGGGAGAAATGTTTCTTTCAAGAAAACTTGCGGACAAGTGATGGATTCAACTTTTGAGGAATTGTGCGATAGGGTACGTGTGTCCAAAAAAAATTATGCTCATTATTATTTCATGCATGATTATATGAAATGATAATTAACATATTTTTTAAAAATTATGTTAATATTAATATAACATAATTATTTCAATAATTATTGTTAAAACAGAATAATAATAATAATAATAAATAATTATTTTTTATAATTATTATTTTATATAATTATATATGAAATAATAATTAACAAAAAAATATATGAATTTAACATGAATTTTGTTAATTCATTTTATTATTAATTATTTGTATTACATTAGCCTCTCGGAGCCAGTGATTACCTAGAGCTCACCCAGGCATTTCACACAATCATCATCAGAGATGTCCCCCAATTAAATTTGAAGCTCAAATCGCAAGCCAGAAGGTTCATTACACTGATTGACACTCTCTACGATAACAGAGTAAGACGATTTCCTCATTCTTTAAATTAAATAACCAACTCCAAAAAATAAAAATATTTTTTTCTCTTGTAATTTTTAGGTGAGAGTTGTTGTCTCTGCAGTTGCCCCCCACAACAAATTATTCGTTCCCGAGGAAGACGCTGAATACACAGATGAGAAACGAATGCTGATGGACGATCTAGCCATATCCGGTGGTTCAGTAAGTAAAGAGTCGATACATAAAGTCCACTGAGTCATGATAAAATCCATTGAAACCCATTGAGTGATTGTTTTTATTCAGGATAATCACAGGTCAAACCTCTTCACTGGTGAGGAAGAACTGTTTGCATTCGATCGAACAGTCTCAAGACTTGCAGAAATGCAAACGAAAGACTACTGGGATCAATGGGAGCATCACAGATAATATGACTGAACTTTAGTAATGAAAATATTGAATTCAGATTAATTGAGCGAACAAACTGAGTAATTTAATATTAATTTATGTATTTATTTGTTATTGTGTTTAGGAAGTAATAAATTCTCTTGTACATAGGACTGTAATAAACAATTGGAACGAGCTTCAGCATTATTTTTATTATTATTTTATTATTATTGCAGTTTAGTACTGATTTCATATTTAATTCTCGTGTCTTTAATCTAAAATTGGCGGCAGGGGGGACTGGCGAGATTGTTCCATTGAGATGAGTGGTGGGGGAATGGGTGGAATGCCACAGCTGATTTGGTGACATTAGTGCAGAATTAAAGAAAATAAAATTTTTGATTGAAAATTTGAAGAAAAATGAAAAAATCAGTGATCGAATCATTGAGTTTGGGGTTAAATAAGTTATTGTATCTCACTGACGAGTATGTGAACAAACGAGTGAATGAAATTTGCAGCATTCCAACAACTGATAAGAAATCGATGCTGCTAAAGGCAATAAGTGTTATTGATTTGACGTCTTTGAACGCAGATGATACGAGGGAAACTATTGAAGAATTGTGTGCAAAGGTAACGATTGCGTTAGCAAAAATTGAAAAATTATCGACAATTTTGATGTTTTTTGGCGTTTTTTTAATGAATTCAGTGATTTGATTATCCAACAGGCGATAAATCCGCTAGGGGACAAGTCAGATAACAAAGACTTGCACACAGCAGCTGTTTGTGTACTTCAATCGCGAGTTCAAGATGCTAAAAACGTTTTCAAACGTGAGAATAGCAAAAATATTGCTATTGCAACAGGTAATGATCTTCAAAATCCTTACATTTTCCCGTATTCTTCTGATGATTTTATTTTTGATGAGAGAAAAATTAAAAAAAATTGAAATGAAAATGAAAAATGAATGGCTAAATGAAAATTTTCTTTCAGTTGCTGGAGACTTTCCAACAGCCGCACTCTCCTACGATCAGCGTCTGAAAGACGTCATTGCAGCAGGACAATCAGATGCTGATGAAATTGACATTGTCATTGACAGATCTCTAGTTGAAAATGAAAATTGGGAGGAATTGTTCCGGCAGATTTCGGAGATGAGGAAGGCCTGTGGGGATAAGCACATGAAGACTATTCTCTCCACTGGTGATTTATCCAGTGTTTATCATGTCTACAAAGCAGCCATGGTGGCCATGAGTGCTGGCTCGAATTTTATTAAAACTTCCACTGGCAAAGAAAGTGTTAATGCCACTTTGGAGGTGGGAATTGTCATATGTGAGGCCATCAAAGAGTTCACGAAGTGGACTGGAGTAAAGGTAACGCGGAGGGACTTGTGCTCGATTGAGAATGATTAATTTTAATTGATTGGTATATTTAATTTTGGCATTCAGGTGGGGTTCAAGCCAGCGGGGGGTATCAAGACTTCCCTTCAGGCGTTACAATGGGTGAATTTGGTCTCGGAAATATTGGGAGAGGAGTGGCTCGACAAAAAACTCTTCAGAATTGGAGCTTCCAGTCTTTTGGATGATCTTGTTGAAGCTGTTAACAACTCCTGATTCATTTGATTACCTGGATTTTCATGTGTTCATACTTTTGTACTGAGATTGTAATACTTTTTCAACCTTTGATGAACAAATTAGTATAATTATTCTCACGAAATGTATGTATTCTTTCTTTTCATTGGAATATTGCACTCCATTTACAAAAAAATCATCGACTTTGCTGTACGATTGGCCATTGTCAACCGGTGATAATTAAAAAAATAGAATAATCATTGAATTCATAATTTTACAAGCCACAAAAATATCTATTTCCCTTTCGAAATTCGTTCATTTAAAAAATTCAAATGACTGACGCATGCGCCCTCACGGTTGTTGATCAGCTGATTCCTCTCTTTCCGCCATTTTAGTTTCATTTCTCACCACTTTCACCTGGCGCTGGGGCCCCGGAGGCTCTCACGCGACTCTTTTCCGTTTAGGTATCCAAGATGGTAAGTTTGCTGCGTCTTGTCACTGCGAAATCCAATTGCATCCAGCCGCAAGGACCAAAATACGATTAATCACCGTGTGTTAATTGATCTTCCAAGCCCCAAGTGCAAGTTGATATGTGTATTTTGTAAAAAGTTTCTCCAATTCGCGAGAAATCCGGGACCGCCAAGTGCCTGTCTCTCGTGGTGACTAACCTGTGACATTTATATATTAAAAAAAACAACAGCAATTGTTAAACCGAAGAATAAGATTTTTCCCATTTTGGTCCTTCATTAAGTTACATTAATTAAATCGTGGGAGCGAATATGACTTGGATGAGACAATTATTGTGGTTGTTGTAGCTCGAGGGACATAATCTCAAGCAGAGTAGTTTTGTATCACTGCTCATGCATTGAGAAAAATGACTTTTTCCAAAGAATCATTTTCGTGGGGGAATTAATTTTTTTAATAGTGCATTTCTCTGGGCCAATTATCCCAATTATCTCCAAATATTCTAATTATGTTGAATTATGGAATGATTATGATCTACATATGATTTTGCATGAACTCCATTGACAATTATTAGCATTTAGAATTATTCGAAATTATTTTACCTAAGAAAATCTCAAATTTGAAAACATTGGTGTAATCATCTCATGCTTCAATACAATTGTAATATTTGGGGATGGAATGGCCTGAAGAAAAACATGTAAAAAAGTCAGTTCTTCTCTCAAGAAAATGATGTTTTGGGAAATATAATTTTTTTTTCTCACAAAATTTTTGGTGATTTCAGGCCCGTGGACCTAAAAAGCATTTGAAGCGTCTCAATGCCCCCAAGGCATGGATGTTGGACAAATTGGGGGGTGTTTATGCCCCACGCCCGTCCACCGGGCCACACAAACTCCGAGAGTGTCTGCCTCTCGTCATCTTCCTCCGTAACAGGTTGAAGTACGCTCTGACCAACTCCGAGGTCACCAAGATTGTCATGCAACGTTTGATCAAGGTTGACGGCAGAGTTCGCACTGACCCCAACTATCCAGCTGGTTTCATGGGTGAGTAGTTCATTTTTTTATTAAAAAAAAATAAAATGGGCCTGATCGAAGCTATAATTGTCCAATTGTGGTTGTTGTAGTCATATTTAGGCCGAGAGTGATCCCTTCTCAAAGGTCACTCACTGAGTTAGCATATTCTTTGAGTATCACCCAAGAAGGATACATTTATCAATTCATTAATTTTTCAAAACCGTTCAAGTCGATTTCAACTGTTAGCCAGTTTTCAATGAATATCTCAGAATCTAAGGCAGATAGCAAAATTGTTATGAGGACCTTTTTTGTAGAGCGAATTGAGGGCTGCAAAAAAGGTTCTCACGAATATTTCGTTATCTCCCTTAGATTCGGAGATATTCCTCAAAATTGATAAATTTGAAATTCGACATAAATTTATTTTTTCAAATTCCAGATGTCGTGCAGATTGAGAAAACTGGTGAATTCTTCAGATTGATCTATGACGTCAAGGGACGCTTTACCATTCACAGAATCACTGCAGAAGAGGCTAAGGTAAATCAATTCTCATAAAGTTGAGAATAACATAAATTGTCCAAAAAATTAATTTTTTCATTTTTAGTAAAGCTCTTGTTGCAACTAATTTTATTTTCTCTTGTTTTAGTACAAATTGTGCAAGGTCAAGCGTGTTCAGACTGGCCCCAAGGGTGTTCCATTCCTGGTAACACACGACGGAAGAACTATTCGCTACCCTGACCCAGTTATCAAGGTCAATGACACGATTCAGTTGGAAATTGGCACTGGTAAAATTCTCGATTCCATTCGCTTTGACTCGGGCAATCTTTGCATGATCACTGGAGGCAGAAATTTGGGTCGTGTTGGTACAGTTGTCAGTCGTGAACGTCATCCAGGATCCTTCGACATTTGTCACATCAAGGACTCTCAAGGACACACTTTTGCCACTAGGTAATAAATTTATCTCCACAATATATTGGATTTGATTTACGAGTCATTTTCCTCTGGCCTCTTCGAAGCTGTTGTAAATTATTTTTCACGTTTATTGCAGTCAAAAGATGGCCAAGAGTAATGAACTCTTCTTTTGGTCACTGATTGACCACGTGGTCTCTCCGTATTACCCAAGAAGATTACATCTATATTTTTCTTAATTTATTTAATTATTAAAATCAAAATAAATAATACTAAAATGAATAAGTAAATAGTTATTTTAATAAATATCTATTATCTCTTTATTTATTTTATAAAATCAATTAGTATTAATGTCAATCACTATTGAAGTTTTTGAAAATTTCATCAGCTTAATTTGTCATTTTCTTCACAGATTGAACAACGTATTCATCATTGGCAAGGGCTCCAAGGCATACATCAGTTTGCCAAAGGGCAAGGGTGTCAAGCTCTCCATAGCCGAGGAGCGCGACAAGAGGCTGGCGGCCAAGGGCGTCAACTAATTTTTAATTATATCGCTAAAAAACGAGACGAAAAAAAACAAAAAAGTCCAATAAACCAACTTTTTGGGAATTTTTGTAAGTGAGTTTTCTTTTATTTATTCGTTTGTGCCGAACCCCGTATTAACTTTTTCATGAATAATTATTTTATTTTGAAATGAATATTCGACTGCAAAAATTGGGAATTTTTGCTCAAGAAAATCCCCTAGTTCACAAATTTATTCGACAATATTAATAATTGATTGGGCGCCAGTTATTTTATCGTTAACTAACTAGAGACTGAGAGAGAAGGAAATTAGACAAGAATATTAATAAACAGTTACTCACTGTTTTATGTCGACAAATGCTCTCAGTTTATTCAACAGGAACCTCAAACTGTTCTCGGGAATCGGCTCTTTTCCACACAGTATAAAATGAATGGAAAAACAATATAAAATATGAATTAAAGTACAAAATACATTCCCACGATATCGCTGCCGGGTGAAGAGTCTCACGCTGGCCACTTGTTGCCTATTCTCAGACGCAGGCGTTGGCAAAAATTGATATTTTAGGGCATGAACCCATTATAGTGACGACTAATCACGCTGGACCTTCTCAGGTGTCGAAGAAATTCAAATTAAAATGCGTGAATGACAAATTGAATGAATCACAATAGTGACGTATGATAAATAAATTAATATTTCGACGGATAACGTGAAATAATTCGCGAGTTCCCCGAGAACAAGAAAAATTGTGTCGACGCGAAGGGAAAATAATATCTCCTGTCTCGTATTTATTGTGTGAAAATGACAATTTTGGTGGAATGTGAGTTGGTAGAGATCGAAAAATTATTATGTACATTTTATATTGAAAAATTTGAAACACTAGGTCAAGTTGAACACCGGGCGGTCCGTTTGTACAGGTGATGTCATTTCTCGGGGAGCCACACTTCAGTTGTGAGCTCCAATTCCCTCCTCAGGATTTCGTTGCATCGGACATCACCTTCTTTGCCGAATTCTCGTTGAATGTCTTTAGCAACTTTTATGAATCTGCTCAATCAATCAATCAATCAATCAAGTAACTTGTAATAATTCTTCATTCATTATTCATTGATCTGTTGTTAAACTCACTTTTGAATGCAGAGAACACTATTTTTAATCTCCTTCTCGACAGGTCTTGGCTCTCCAGGACTCGATCGACTTTGGAACTCCATATTTTCCAATGATTTGTGACACATAAATGGATATGTCCTTATCCAACCGCCCTCTCGGGTCTTTGGATTGCCCCAGTCGCGACCGTTGTCCCATACAAGCCCACCTGAGTGCTCTGATTTATTCATACCTTTGAAACCTCTGCGGATATTTTTGTCGACACAGAGGGAATTGTAACGGGAAAAATCCTCCGTTGGTCTACGTCGCAACTGTCAACATCAATAACCAATCACAATATCTTCAATCTTGGCTTTAATTACGGGGAGGTTCACCAAACAAAACTTTCATTTAAAAAAAACTGAAATAATATTTTCAGCGTCATTTAGGCCAAATTTGTGATTATATTCAAAAAACTATTTTTACAAAAATACGTTGGGGATTTCTGTTAATTTGACTCTAAGATTAACAAAAAATCGACGCCTCAATTGTGGAAAATTACGCGGAACACGGTATTTATTATAAATACTATTAATTTTTATTCGAAAAAAGAAAAACGAAAAAAGTTTTTTTTCCTGGGGTGAACACCTCCCCTTAGAACAATAATTTAAAAAAATAGGGACAACTCACCATATTTGCACTATCTGGCCGTGAATTGATAAATCCAACAGAGTCATCGACTCTGCATCTTCGTTTAGAACACCGCGGTTGATAATACTTGGAAGCACAGAAATGGTCATCGCAGTTGCCCACAATTGGGCTTGAGGCGGACCAAATTTTGAAGAGAGAGAGCCCAGTGTTGCACACGGGGAGACCGAGTAGATCAAACAAATCGTGGAGAAGTGGCTTCTTCACTTCTGAGTCTACCTCGCAGTCGTTGCCCAGTGCTGGACTCACGTTGACTTCTAGAAGCCATGGTTTTAAGTTCGCGTCGATTAGAACATCGAAGCCAAAGAACTCGAAACAATTTGAGGATTTTGGTATCCCGGCAGTTTGACTTAGAACAGTCAGGGAAATTAAGGCGGCTATTCTTTGCCAGAGGAACCAGTCGTTGAAGCCCGACTGATCCATGTATCTTCTCAATTGCCGAAAGCTCCATTTCGAGCCTAGAAAACCCCAATTGATTGACATTTCAATTTTAAGTTTCACAATAATCGTTATGAAATGAGGAAATTCACCTGCACCAACTCTTTCCTTTTTCTGCGAGTATCCGGGCCCCAGTTTGTTGAGCGCAAAATTAGTCAAGTGGCGAAAGGGGTCGTCCAGATTCTCGAGGGAAAACTTTTCGGTGGCGAATCTTGCCAGCCCCTCTTTGTAAAGGTAAATGGTCAGTGGTCGGTATGATGGAACACAGACGTACAGTCGCAGATCGAATTTGTATCCCCCAATGAGGAGCGGTTTTTCGATGTATCTCTGAACCACAGCTGCACTGTCGTAACTGAGGTCACTCAATCGCTGAAATATTCAAAAAAAATTAGTTAGTGGAATTAAAACAAACATTTTACACGAAGATTAAACTCATTTGAAGCGTGATATTCAAAGATTTCCCCGGAATTCTGATTTTCAAAAAATACAAAATTTTCTCAAATTTTCTCAAATTTTCAAATAAATGAAAATAACCATTATTGCTATCGCCGTCATCTCCAAACTACAATATCCAACATTGATATCTCTCATATACCCTCAACCCCTCACTTACCCTAAACAAAAAAATCCCTCGTCCTTGGCTCTGTCCCACGGGCTTGCATATCCACACCCTGTCATCCTTCTCACAACGACTGCAATCAGCTGCTAGTTTCGTGTACTCAGATGGCAGATTGTAACCTGGAGGACTGAAATACTAAAGTATTATAAATATCCATAGCATTGCGACACGTCAAGATGACGACACGAACAATACCTGATGTCATAAATGGATCCATAAACCTGGCGCATACACTTTAGATGCCTCACGAGATTATCCTTCCTGCATATCGAGCTACCCTTTGGTATTCTGTTTATGAATTGCCAGGGTAATAGGCTTTTGTAGTGCGATGTGGGAAATCCACCTGACTTCCACCACAAATTCCAACGGTCTTTGAACGCATTGTTAGTGTCACCGGCGTATTCTCGCCAGCCGCGTTCTGTACATACCTTAATTTACAAATTGCAAATTTATCATTATTATTGTTACTGTGGGGCTACGCCCCTTAGCCCCTACTCACCAACCCCTATATGACCCTCATGTGACTCCCATATTAACCCCGTGACCCTTATATTGGGCCCTTTGGCCCTTATTTGGACCCTCGCGACCGTTATTCTGACCCTTGCGACGGTGATTCGGATCCTTAATCTGATACTTGTGATCCTTATGGCCCTTAATCTGACCCTTATACTTGTAATCCTTATGACCCTCAATCTGACCCATATTCTGACTGTCGTGACCCTTAATCTGACATTTGAGCCACTTAATCGACCCTCGTGGCCCTTAATCTGACCCTCGTCAACTATATTCTGACCCTTATGAACCTTATTCTCACCCTCATGACCCTCAATCTGACCCTTGAGCCACTTAATCGACCCTCGTGGCCCTTAATCTGACCCTTATGAACCTTATTCTCACCCTCATGACCCTTAAACTGACCCTTGTGACAGTTAATAGACCGTCGTGACCCTTTCTTTGACCCTCGTGAACATTATTCTGACTCTCACGACCCTATCTTGACCCTCGTAACCCTTATTTTGGCCCTTGTCACCCTCAATTTCTGAGTCTGAATTTTGAGTACCAAATTTTCATCACCAGAAGTCAATTTGGATTTTTATAATACACAGAGATTTAAAAATTTTTTTTTATACAAGTGGAGCCTCCCACCCCGTCCTTGATATTTTTTTCGTGTCATTATGACATTAAGGAAGCAAAAAACCCATCAGCCACGAGGAGAATGCCAAATATCTATCGGATATACCAGTGGTATGTAATTACAATTAAATCGGTAAACTGTTGTATCACGATAGCCTACTTTGCCACATCACGAAAGCTCTCTCTCACCCCTTGCAGTCTTACTTCATACAAATCGTTAATGAGAAACTTGCGACCTCGAGACACGATTAGTACCGATAATAAAGCTCTTATCACTCGTTTCGTGTATTTTTCCAAATGGTTTTTACATTTTTATTAAAGTGATGGGGAATTTTTATTATAACCAAAAAATGTCAAGGGATAAGGGAGTTGAATTGATTCACCTGGACTAGAAGATGTGGAGCGCTTCCACTGTCGTTGAGCCTGAAGACAAATGGTCCATCTAGACAACTCTCCATTTTTACGGTATCCTAGCCGCCACCGCCAGCCCCAGCTCAATCACCTGAAAATCCATCAGCCTTGGCATCAGCAAAAACAAGTAGACAATTGCATTTTTTCATAAATGAGAATAGTTATTGTTGGTAATGAATTAGCAATTTTTTTCCGAATGGGTTTTCTCATTTTTATTTTTGTTTCACTATTCTCTTCTATTTTTTCAAGTCATAGTACTATCATCAATAGAAATGTCATCAAAAGTTAAAAAAAAAAATTCTAATTGGTGTCAATGAGTAGAGCTTATTAAAGTCTGTATTCATGAAAAAAATTCATGAAATTTTGTTGATCCCTTATATTTAAGTAACCTGACACAAAAATTGTAAACATGAATTTGAGCGATTACGAGGCTTCGACGCTGAAGCAAAAAAAAATTGATAAAATCATCGAATAACAAAATAATGAGGTGAAATGCCAGCGTTTTATATCCTTGACGTGTGTCACTGGTGACACACAGCCCGGAGGATATCGAGGGTTACTATTCATAGCCAGCACGAATTATACTCCTATAAATAGAAAGAAATAAAATGTCTCAAGTGATATTGATGCGATCAGAGGGGATCGCTTATCGTTTTCTTTTACCCTTCTTAAAGACGATAAACAACAAAACAACATAAATAACGTTAGAATCGACAATTGCGGGCTTTTTGGAGAATGAAGTGAAAAAATACGTGCGATATCGTGCGTGAGGCATTCTCGCGTGATCTTCAGCTATTTACAGCCCTTTTTGAGGAGAATACGCGCGAATTGCCACCTTTAATGGTGCACACTTGTGGAGCTAGTCGAAAAATAGTTTTGTTCACAATATTTCCTAGCGAATCTGTTTTTTTCTCATTCATAAAAATAAGGCTATTTGTTATGCATTATTGATAGCAATTTTTTCACCGACTGACTGAACTAGTTATAGAGCTTTTTTTATCACTAGTCCGTAAAGTAAAATTTTACGTATGCTCCGCAAAATGCACTTTTTGTGCACAAAATGCCACTTTTCACATATTGTGATGAAATATAGGTTTCGACTCTCGTGGGAAAAGTGTTCTTTGACCCTTCGGAGGATAGCACTCGCCTTCGACGAGCGCTGCGCACCTTCCACGGCTCAAAAAACAAGTTTTATGATTAGTCCGTAAAGTGAAATTTTACGCACACTACGCAAAATGCACTTTTCGTGCACAAAATGCCGCTTTTCACATATTATGATGTAAAATAGGGTTCGACACTCGTGAAAAAAGTGTTCTTCGACCCTTCGGAGGGTAGCACTCGCCTTCGGCGAGGACTACACGCCTTCCACCGCTCAAAAAACAACTTTTATGACTAGTCCGTAAAGTGAAATTTTACGTATTCCGCAAACTGCGACTTTTTGTGCCCAAAATGCGCAAAATGCCACTTTCCACATACTATGATGAAATATAGGTTTCGACTCTCGTGGGAAAAGTGTTCTTCGACCCTTTGGAGGATAGCACTCGCCTTCGACGAGCGCTGCGCACCTTCCACGGCTCAAAAAACAACTTTTATGACTAGTCCGTAAAGTCAAATTTTACGCACACTACGCAAAATGCGACTTTTTGTGCACAAAATGCTAGTTTCCACACATTGTGATGAAAAATAGGTTTCGACACTCGTCAAAAAAGTGTTCTTCGACCCTTCGGAGGGTAGCACTCGCCTTCAGCGAGGACTACACGCCTCCCACCGCTCAAAAAACAACTTTTATGACTAGTCAGTAAAGTGAAATTTTACGTATTCCGCAAAATGCGACTTTTTGTGCACAAAATGCGCAAAATGCCACTTTCCACATACTATGATGAAATATAGGTTTCGACTCTCGTGGGAAAAGTATTCTTCGACCCTTTGGAGGATAGCACTCGCCTTCGACGAGCGCTGCGCATCTTCCACGGCTCAAAAAACAACTTTTATGACTAGTCCGTAAAGTCAAATTTTACGTACACTACGCAAAATGCACTTTTTGTGCACAAAATGCCACTTTCCACATATTATGATGAAAAATAGGGTTCGACATTCGTGGAAACAGTGTTTTTTGACCCCTAGGAGGACTACACACCTCCCACGGCTCAAAAAACACTTTTACGCACTCGTATCAAACAACGATTTTCGCCACAAGGCCGAAAAAAATTTTTCTGACGGCTGTAAGGGTTGCAGACCGAGGCAAAGCCGGGGAATGCAGTTGCACGAGTCAGAAAAGTTGTTTTCCGCCGAGTTACGAACCCAATTTTTCTTCACAATGTCCATAAACGACGTTTTACGACCAGTGTGATGAAAATATACTACAACGAACTAATTAAAATTGAAAAATTGTTTAAAATTGCCCACCGCAACGTTTCCCTCTCGCTGGTACTAACCTGAAGTGGAGGGACGCCACTTCCGTAATGTCTTTTCAACCCCCAGAATGAGCTTTTCCACCGTCCAGATATGCCTTCCTGACGATAAAGTTCACTCCAGTTCAACTGCACATTTCACTTCCCCCACCACATGAAGAATGAAGGAATAATACGACAAGACACAGAACGAGGACAATACTGACTACACGCGAAACAATGCAAGCTCGATATTATCCACTCTTGTTCTCTTACGAGTAGAATACCGCTGCATTTACAGACACGCAATAGTCTATTGCCTGGGCTTTTAAACCGTCAGGGTCGGTTTTTGTCGAGCGTCTGATTGTGAGTCAGTTTGCGGGTGGATTCCCCGGTGGATTGTGGGGGTAGAACGAAGGGGGGTAGTTGACAAACTTTTTTGCGATTCTGTGGACGGGCTTTTTATCAAATCATGTTTGTTGCGCTTATCGCGGCTTTCACTCGGAAATTGATAAGGGTGGGGGCGAGGGGGCGAGGACACGAACGAGCCCCTTTGCATGCCGACGCGAGCCCAGGTATTTTCATTGGTTTTTTCATGCACTTTTGGGGAGCTTGTTTATTTTTCCCCCCATGCACTAATGCCGGGGCTTGTTACGTACTGGGTAAATTCGCGTGGAGATGAGTATCGGGAGGCAATCGGCGACAGCAGTGATATTGTGCTGCGGGGAAATATGAGGTACTTGTGAGCAATATTGAGGTCATGATAAATCAGTTCTTGTTCAATTATCTGTCTCATAATGAGAGGAAAAAAATTTATAAATTGGAGAGACTAGAGCTTACTTTTCGGGCAAGTGTCCTATGATGTCAAGCGGTACCACCGCATCCGCTCGCGGGGGCTCTCATCGGAACGAATAAAAAAGGAAAAAAATTGATATAAAATAAAAGATGTGTCTCATAAGGAGAGGAAAAAAAAGTATAAATTGGAGAGAATAGAGCTTACTTTTCGGGCAAGTGTCCTACGATGTCAAGCGATACCACCGCATCCGCTCGCGGGGATGTTCATCGGAACGAATAAAAAAAGAAAAAAATTAATATAAAATAAAAGATGTTTCATAATGAGAGGAAAAAAATTTAAGAGAAAAAATCGTTTTTAAATTGGAGAAACTAGAGCTTACTTTTCGGGCAAGTGTCCTACGATGTTAAGCCGTACCACCGCATCCGTTCGCGGGGATGTTCATCGGAACAAATAAAAAAAGAAAAAAATTAATATAAAATAAAAGATGTCTCATAATGAGAAAAAAAACAAATTTAAGAGAGAAAAATCGTTTTTAAATTGGAGAAACTAGAGCTTACTTTTCGGGCAAGTGTCCTACGGAAGGAATTCTAGTCGGAACGAATAGAAAAAAAAGAAACAAAAAAGAATATCAATTAATATAAAATAAAAGAAATTTATAAATTAGAGGAATTAAAGCTCACTCTTCGCGCAAGTGTCCCACGACGTCGAGTGGTAGCGCCGAATGGAAAAAAAATTAATTAATGTAAGAAGGAAATGACAAATAAAAAAGTGACTGAAGCTGATGCTTCTGCGTGTCTGCACGTCCCCGTTGTGACGCTTTGCGAAAATAAAAAGCCATCGGGCGCAAGGTTACGGCTAAAGGTAAAAGATCGATAGGCAAAGGGAGGATGAAAAAAATATTTCTCAGCGACTAAAGAGCGAAAGCACTTCCTTCCGCCGACGCAATGTAGGCGAGACTGATGAGTGACTCTGGCTGAGGACATCCAGTCGTCCTGCGGTTTTTCGTCCCAACGATATGTGCACACGCATTCCAGGTGACTCCAGACGATCGTAAACTCATATAATGTAATGATCGGGGAGAAATACTGCCCGGGCGCAATGGCCTCAAATTTTTCCCCCCTTTTTTTGGCTGTGGAGAAATTGCAGTTTTATCGATCCGCATTTTACATATGAATTCGCGTGGATCGTTGGGTTCGGGTTTAATAATGAAATTATTTCCGCAGTTTAGTGACTATCTGATTTATTTTAAGCAACACAGTACACTCCTACAGATATCTCCGTTCGTAATTTCCTTTTCCATACATCTTGCAGAATTAAAAAGCCAGTTATCTCAATCCGATGTTGAAAATTATGAGGAAATAGTATCACACGATCTCACACTCGCATCTCTCACTCGTAGATTTACTCTTTCATTCAATTACTGTTTTCTTTTCGTTATCTTAAGTTTTATTTGTTGCATTTATGATTCATTTTATTCGTTATAATTATCCTCTCTTCATCATTGCAGTGTGCTCGACGATTTTAAAATAAACATCCAGTTATGACTCTTCCTCGACACACAGTTCAACGATAAATGGCACAAAGATAGATAGAGAAAATGTTCGGTAATGGAGATATTCTTTTTCTCTTCATTTTCTTTTTTTTTCGTCAGGCTTCGATTGATCCGATTTTCCACCAAAAAATATTGTTCAAGTGTACATTCAGTATTCAAATATTAATTTATTGTCATCCATCATCGAGGCAGGGGGGATAATGCCAGGGCTTCCCTATTATTTTCGTTTCTCATTTTATTCTCCACTCCTTGCTGCTCTCGATCAATCAATCGTTCTATGCATAATACATATGATTTCAATTCGTCGATTGATCCACTGAGAACAATCTCATTACTTGACACATCGACAAGGCACGTTAATTGTAAAAATAGACTTTGTTGTTATCGCAACTGCTGGCACAGTTGAAGGATAATGACTGTTTAAAACTACTGCATTCCTCCTTGACCCTTTGATTTAATCATTTCACTGTCGTTTCGCATTTTGGATATATAAATTATGGAACAATCGTCGCAATTAAACTGTTTGAGTTTCTTTTTATTTTCGTACGTAATTAGAGTTGTGACTTTTAGGGACTTCTGCTGGGAATTAAATGGGTTTAAGAGGCCTATTTTAATGCAATTGCCACAGCGACCTTTGCGTGTCCTTCCGTAATGCAGTCTCTGCGCTAATGAATTGTCGGGGTTGCCCAGGCGAATTATGCCTCGATCATGATAATTTATAATTAATTATGAATTCTTCATCAATCGTAGTATCGGGTCATTAGAATTTTCGGTGTAAATATTACGGTAAAAAATATTTCGCGAAAATATTAGGGTAAATAATATAACGATCAACATTGTGACGAAATTTCAGGCGAATTCGTCACCTGCTAAACTACAGGGTATTTATGTAGAAAATGAGCGAGAGAGAGAATAAAAATTCATAAATCGTTGTCTTCTTTGCGATAAAATTTTATACGGAAAATTAGAGCTACATGTTACAGGGTCCAATTATCATTGGTTTTTTTCATCAAGTAATGAGACTGTAATTGTCTCTTCATTTAATATTTTTCAACACTTAACAACTTTTGAATTTTTCAATGAATATTATTCGAATTTGCGAATTGTTGAGTGTTGACAGTGTTATTGAATTATTCTTTTTGTTGATTCTTAATTCGTTGAAGAGAAAACATTTCTGTAATAGTAGCTTCACGCCTGTGTGATGAGTTGAAGTTATTCAAAACTATTGGAATAATTTAGTAAATTGACGAAATGTGTCGCTTGTGCTTCGACGATGAGATGTTGCTTCTCATCTCATGCGAGACACCTCGCTCTCTTCCTTCTCAATCTCCGACACAATCGGTCAGTCAATTATTTCTCTTATCATTCGGTCATTTGAAACTTTGACACAAATGTCATTGTATTAATTATTAATTCAGTAGCGAACTGGTAAAACGGTTTAAGTCGACTTAGCTCTTAGTTAAGTTTTTGACGAATATCTTAGGATCTAAAGGAGATAATGAAATATTCGTAATAACGTTTTTTCTACAGTAAATTAAGTGCTATAAAATAGGTCGTGATAAAAATTTAGCTATCTCCCTTCGATTCCGAGATATTCACTAAAAACTGGCCAATAGTCAAAATCGACTTAAACCGGTTTACCACTTCGCTACTGAATTGGAATAATGGTTTGTCCCGTTGAATTGCTACAAAGATAAAATTATATATTGTAATTTCAAATAATATTTATACATCAAAAGGGTTGAGGCGAAAGACAAATTTGTTGTAATTGTTCAAGTTCTTTTATTATTATTGTTATTCTGAAAAGGGAAAGAGGAAATAAATAATTGAATTGAATATTTTGTGGAGTAATATTATAGCGAAGTATTTTTTACCGTAATATTCACGTTACATTATTCAGATTTGCAAATTAAATATCGAGAGGATTTCGATTGTGTCCTCCGTCACTGAAGCCAAAAAAAAATTGGTAAAGTATCGCTTCAGGATACTTTTGAGCTCAACGTACTCAAGCGTTAACCAGTATTTAATTTCAATTCAACGAGGTGTACCCCCGTATCGCATGTTTGGGTTAGTGAATTCACATTGGTATCGAAGAAAAATGAATTTAAATAGCGTTCTATAATCGATGTTATTCGTAGTACTTTCACTTATCGTTTTCATTATTTTCTCGTTTTTTATTATTTGTTCTCAACATTTGAGGCAGGATTTCAAGGTGCTCTAGCGTGCGTGATTTTTGCAGAAGGGACGACCACCTTTGGCGTAGAAGCTCTGTCCTTCCAGATTTTTCTTGCACATCTGCGGAAAATCAACGGAATGAGAACAGAATGAGCCAAAATTAAATGGAAAATAATGGCATACCGTGCAATTGAAGCACTGGCTGTGATAATTGTTATTCAATGCCTCCACCCAGCGATCCCCAGCCTCAACCGGGAAGCCACAGGCGTAGCATTTCGTCGTAAATAGTTCGTTCCAATCTGCGAAAAAGAGAGCCCCCCAAAAAATAAACATCCAATTCATATGAAATTGTCTTGTATTGACAAAACATGTTGGCAATATTGGTTGAAATAAAACCGAATATGCCCATTGATATATCGATTGTTTGCCTTGTTATTTGCTTACCGGCCTCGCAGTACGGCAGACCCTCCTCAAGGAAGAACGGACTGTTGCCAAATAATTTGCCACAGTAGGTGCAGTTGAAGCACTCCGGATGGTAGTGTTTGCCAATTGCATTGAGACAATCACCCTTGATCTTGTTGTTGCACTTGTTGCATGAAGGGGCGATAAAGCGCTCGAAGCAGTATTCGCAGTAGAGCTGGCCCTTCTCCTCGACGAAGCCAATATCCTGGAGGTGGCGACGGCACTGAGAGTTCACGCAGACAAAGTGCTCGGGACACCAAATTTGGCCGAGGGCGGTGATGAAGGGACCCCTATTTACAAATTCAAAATGAACATTTTCGGTATTTTTGCTCGTAGAGATGGAAGAAATCGATTGAGATACAGGCACTGACGAGTAATCGTTAATTCACATTGAAAACATTCACATCATACCTTGTAATTTCTTTATCACAACTGCAGCAAATTGGTTTCTGACTTTGGCCATTCGAAATGCTATTAGTAACATCTCCAACTGTCAAAAACATGCCATTACTTGTTAATTAGAGGTGTCAATTTGAATTAATCAAACAACAAAATTTATTGAAATCGTGAGGGTGAAATTCACGGTGGAGGATTATTCAAATCAGATGTGAAGTGGTACAACAACGTGATCGGACAAATCGATTTTTCTACGAATAAGAGGTATCATTTGCGCACGTACACTGATGATAAAATAATGCAAGTGGACAATTGCATTTTTTGGAAATGAGATAAATTAGCAATTTGCTTTCGAGTGGGTTCTCTTTTTTAAATTCTTATTTCACTATTCTCTTCTACTTCAATTGAGATGTCATGACAATTTTGCATACAGAAAGACAGACACCCTCTAAAAAGCGCACATCTATTCAGAAGCAAATAGTATATTTTGATACGGGTCCGTAAAAGTAATTTTCATCAGGCTGTGACGAAAAATGAACTTTTCGGCACGCTCCGCGTGCCTAAAAGTCCAATTTCCGCCACATTGTGATGAAAAATTTGTTCGTAACTCGTGAAAATATGTTTTTTAGCTCGTGGGATTATATCACTCGCCTTCGGCTCGAAATATACTATTTTGTGATACCTGCCTGAAAAGTTCACTTTTCGAAACAGTTTAGTGCGCGTAAAGCGCCTGTTTTACTCGCCGAAGGCGAGTGCTACTCTTCCAAGGGTTAAAGCACATTTTTCTTACGAGTGTCCAACCCTATGTTTTATTACAATGTGTGGACAGCGGCATTTTGCGCGGAGCGCGCGCAAAATTTCATTTTACGTACAAGTGATGAAAAAGTGTTTTTTGACCCGTGGGAGGTGTACAGCGCTCGCCGACGGCGAGTGCTTCCATTCTAAGGGTCAAGGAACACTTTTCCTACAAGTGTCGAACCCTATGTTTTCTCACAATGTGTGGAAAGTGGCATTTTGCGCGGAGCGCGCGCAAAATTTCATTTTACGTACAAGTGATGAAAAAGTGTTTTTTGACCCGTGGGGGGTGTACAGCGCTCGCCGACGGCGAGTGCTTCCATTCTAAGGGTCAAGGAACACTTCTTACAAGTGTCGAACCCTATGTTTTCTCACGATGTGTGGAAAATGGCATTTCGTGCGTAGCGGGTATAAAATCTCACTTTACGTACAAGCGATGAAAGTGGTTTTTGACCCGTGAGAAGTGTACAGCGCTCGCCACCGTGCGAGTGTTTCTCTTCTAAGGGTCAAGGAACACTTTTCTTACGAGTGTCGAACCCTATATTTCATCACGATGTGCGGAAAGTGGCATTTTGCGCGTAGCGTGCGTAAAATCTTACTTTACGTACAAGTGATGAAAAACACAAAAACATGAGAGTTCCTGAGGAAAGAAAAGAAAAGCCCACACAAAAACCATGCACACACAATACATCAACAGGCAGAAAAACTCGGCAAGCCTGTCTACCTGACGTATGCCTGACAATGTCCACATACGGGCTGGCGTCCAGTTGCGGCCTGATTGAGAATTCCCTTTCCACGCTTGGGGGCTGAGCTTCCGGCGAACTTTCTACCCTGTGGCCCAATTCCACCGACACCGCTACCTAAATCCGGTTGGGACGACAAATTTGGTGGGTCTACTAAGTTCTGGGTTTTACTAAATGGTTGGGGGGCATAGGGTGCGCGCGATAGGGTTGGTTCAGGTCGATATGTCTCGGGTTCGCAGTGTTTGCCATCGGAGCAAGTGTTCTTACGCGGCTCGCAATGGAGGCCGTCAGAGCAGCTGTTCTTACGCGGCTCGCAATGGAGGCCGTCAGAGCAGCTGTTCTTTTGCGGCTCACGGGGCTCGCAATGGAGGCCATCGTCACACTGCTCCGAGGCTTCTGCTTGGGATTTGAACAAATGAACAACTTGTTTGTCGCGTTTTACAGTCATGCATGTAAGCTGCTGGCTGAGAGTTGTGCGAGGCTGCTGCTGTTGTTGTTGTTTTATTGGCGGAAAGCTTTCTTGCTGCTTTTTAAGCGGACACACATCGCAGGGCTCGACTTGTGGCTCGTCGGGGAGAGGTATGTGAGGGAAGGGAACGGGTTTGCTCAGCGGACACTTCGGCTTCTGCGCTGGCTTCGGGCAGGAGACAGGAGCGAATCCCGGCACTTTGCAGGGAGCCACGCAGACCGATCCGTCGGTGCAAGTGCCCACGCGGACTCCGGACGCCGGACAATTTCCGATATCGATCTCGGACCCACCAGAGCGAATCCCTTTCTCCCCAGTGCACTTGGCGGCTGATCTGCCGTGCAAAGCGGGCGAGACGCACAAACCGGATCTGTCCGGAGTCGGAGTAACGCAGATTCCGGCTCGCGGACACGTCTGGGAGGTTTCAGCCCCCTCGCAGGGGACGATCACTACTCCAGCTCTGCTGGCACCCGTGTCTGTGATCGCTCTACACGGGAGGACAGTCACTCCAGTATTCGCGCAGGTGCTCTCTTGTTTCTGAGAACTGTAGGAACTCGTGTTGCGTTCCTGATGGCAAATTCTACGAGTCTCTGAAATCTGGGAGCTGGTGTTCACGGCAGGCGTCGGCAGGACTTTCACTCCGGTCCTCTGAATGCGATCGGATATTGCGGAGTGGCTTATCGGACACGGCAGGGACGGCTGGGTACGCGAGATTTTGGAGATGCCGCAGGTCTCTCCCTCGTCCTCCGAGGTCTCCTGGTAGCATCGTCTCTCCTCAATCCGCTTTTCCTGACATGAAGTCTTCTCCACTCTCTTCTCCTCTTCTCGACGTTGATACTGGCAGGAGTAGGACTCATTGCCCGATGATTCCTGATGATAAGACGAACGGGTTCCCACGAAGTCGGAGGATCTGTGGCCCTGAGGCGTATCTTCCTCCATATGATAAGATACTTTTTCGTACGGTCCTGAGTACGGAGGAAGCTGCTGAGCGCTCCTTTGACAGGATTGCTGGGGGGGATCGCGGATCCTCGGAGCTTGCGCTCGGGTGTAGTACGCGGGAGGATCTGGGGGTCCGGGAGCTGGCGATTTTCTGTGGGGAGTTGGCGATCTACTCGGGACGTATGGAGTACTGGCGACAGCTTCCTGCTCGACCGCCACCAGATGCTTCTGATAGAACGGAATTGTGTCAGGTTTCTTGAGGCCGCCAGACCTGACTTTACATTCTGCCGGGGTTGTCGGACGCGAGAGGGACCTCGCGGGGGAGATCGAGGAGTCCCTCAGTCTGTAATCTGGCGGGGGCGTGGGCAGAGGTCTGGGACCCTCCACTTTTCTCAGGCTTCTCTCTCTAGTTCTTGATTGCCGAGTCGAGGAATCGGTGTAGAGGATCTCCGCAGGGTGACAGTAGCCCTCCTGCTGCTGGTTTATCGGAGTGTAAGGACGAGCCGCGTCTGGCTTGTCAACGGGAAAGACACCCTTGACCTCTTCCCCCAAGGGGGTGTAAGGACGATCTGGGGCGATGATGAGGGCGTCAGTGAAGGGCGAGACGGGCCTTTCGTAAGGGCCCTTGTAGTACTCCTGCTGTGGCGGCGGTGCCTGATGAGAAATCTCCTGATACCGAATCTCCGTTGAGTAATGCTTCAGTTCCTCCGTTTTGCCAACCCCGGGGTGGAACGGCGAGTACGACCTCGCGGGCGCTGTCGTCAGGGCATCGCACATTGGGGTTTTGTACTCCTTCGGCGTGGTATTCTTCACCGTCGACTGGGGCAGCTGACGAATACCGGCATCGGAATCCGTGACGAATTGCACGTGTTTCCGCTGGCAAACTGGCTCCTGCAGGGCAGCCATTTCCTCAGCTGACTGCGGTCGGAATCGTTTCTGAAGGCGGCGCTCTTGGAGCGACGGCTGACGCTCAGAAATCGGCTGCTGCTGACGGAGAGACTTGTGAATCTCCACTTGCTCCCGTAAGCACTGACGCTGCTCCTCTTCGATCTGATTGTAGCTGTCCTGAACCTGCACCTGTTTTTTAACAGATCGGTAACACTCTTGAGACCTCATGCTGCTGTCTGCGTCGTTCCTCTCCTCTCGCATGTACTGCTGCTCTTGCCAGGACTTGATCGGCTGTTGCACGTCTTCGTGTCTAGACTTCTCGGAGAAGCTGACGTGCTTGCGCTCCTCCTCTTCGAGACGACAGCACTTTTCAGTCTGCTTTCTCGATTCTTCTATTCTTCTGGCTTTGGCTTCCTTCTCTTCTCGTAAGATCCTCAAACGGTTCTCCTCCCGACACTTCTCCTCCTCCGCTTCTCTTCTGATCCTCTCCTCCTCGCGTCTGCATTCCTCCTCGTAAATCCTTCGTCGCTCGTCCTCCTGTTTTCGAAGTTCATCGAGCTGGCGATTCGTGTTGATCGCCGAGGTGATGACACTCGCCGCTTGAACGCACTCCTGCCGACCGGAAAATCCCGCGACCTCGCGATCCGCCATTGATGTCGCTGATTGTCTCCCCGCGTCTGAATCCGGCGCTGGCGACATGCCGCGCTCTGGAGTTACGACTTCAACTGTCTTCTCGTAGATCGTTGTCTTCTTGATGTGAAGGTTTCCCTCGTCCTTCTCCATGGTCTCAGTGTACATATTGTGCTGGCTCTCCACACCCTTGGGGCAGATCGCCACGTCCTCGGGAACTAGCTTCGACAGGTCTATCGTCTCGTTTTCCGTTTCCTCGACGACCTCCTGAACCTCTTCAGCTTCTTGCTCGTACAGACAGATTGGTTGCGGCTCTGGTTCAGGAGTCGGCGGTTTGCAGAGATCACAAACCACTTTATGATAATGATGCTCTTGCTCGTGCTCGGCACCGGACGGCCCAGATGTTTTTTCGCAAACAATTCTGCAGGTGCAGACTTTACAAACCGGTGGATCCGGTACTTGAGGAGCTTCTACGTGGCTGTAGGCACCACTGCTGACCGTCGCAGTCCAAGGTTTTGGTGTTGGCTGATTAATCCTCGTCGGTGTCAACGATCTTCTCGATCCCTCGGCTGACTCGGGACGCGGCAGACTCGAGGCTCGACATTCTCGGCGCGTCTCCATGCAGCTCTCCGTTTTTCGATAAAAAGGGGCATTGCTGTTTGCCTTGTCCATGTTGTCCTCTCCCCAGCAGGCCAATTCCCTCTCGTACTCGCAGTCCTCGTTACGACTGACGCTTTGACTCCGGCAACAGGCCTCCTGAAGGCAAACGCGTTTTTCACGCACGTTCTGGCGGGGCTGACGGTGGAGCACTGGATTTGGATCAATCCAGATGGGACTCGCTGTTGGATATGTCACGTCCTCCAGCGATTTCGCTGGTGGCCAATTTAACGTTTTGCCCTTCACCGAGGAAGGCGGCCTTGAGTGCTCTTCCTGACGAGAGCGCGGCTCCTCTATCACCTCCTCGTAGTAATTACACTCCGAGTAAGATTCTTTTGATGGTGATTGGTGAGGTTTTTTGTTTGGTTGTTTGTTTTGTTTTTCAAAGGAATGGGGGGACGAGGGGATTAATTGGCGAGTATGCAGAGAATGCAAGTCACAAGAACACAAGTCGATTTTTTGAGGGCGCATTAGTATTTGCGATTGATTGAGGCAATTAGTGCGGGTGAAGAGAGAAAAATAAAGATACTTGGTGAGTAAGCTGTGGGACAAGCGGTAAAGCTTAAAATCTATGAATCACATCATCATTAAATTGTTTTAAACATTAATGTCATTGTTTGTAGTATAGTAGACTCCCGTTATAGACGCGCTCGTGGGGATGGGGGAAGCAAATTCAGAGGATGCGCGAATAACATGAAAATACTGAGGATTTAATTATTGTTTCATTGAATTTAACGGTTTGTTAAATAATTTTAATTATTACGTCAACATTTCAATACACAATTAATTGACTTTTTTAATAATCAATCGATTGACTGAGGATAAAGAGGAACAGAGAGAGAGAGAGAGAGAGAGAGAGAGTCTGTTCCAGTCATTCCGCATCGCCGGGAGCCCTACCGCGCATTCCCGTCGCGCAGAGGGGCCCCTCAGATTGTAACTGGAGGGGGAAATCAACTTCTCCAACTGAAATATTAGAGAAGCGAAGTCACAGGGAGTATCCACCGTACACCGGGAGTCTACTGTATGTTAAAAAATCTATTCTCGCTGAATAAAATCACCATAAATTCTAGAAAAATACTTCAGCAATTAGATCTTTTACGAATGCGGCGTTCAATCACTCTGAGTCACTGTACTGACAAGAAAAAACCGCTGTTAATTGTAAGCGAATGGTCAATGTCGTTGAGATGAAACTGACGTCCTCTTGGCAAACGCCTGACACACCGCAGAATGAAAAAAAAATGCAAAAAGAATGAAATAAGCCTAATCCAAATGTATTCGACGACCACATAATGATGATTTATTTTCTCAATATCACGTAATTACACGCAAAAAAATAAAAATTTGAGACAGAGTAATTTAGAGAATTCAAAATAGAGATGATGAAGTGAGAAAAATTGCCGAGATGAGGACTTTGGGCCTTCGTGATAGATGCGCAGATGCAACGAGGACGACGAGATCGCGTTGAGAGCTGCCTGAGACGCTCATGCAAGGGTTAGGGAGAAGGGTCGGGGTTTGGGGTTGAAAGACGGAGCTGCTGAAAAAAAAAGATAAGAAAAAGACTGTTGCATTATGCGAAGAAGATAGGTAACTCGTTGATCATTGATCAGTGGCTTGCAGGATATTATCAGTCCTTATTTGAGAGTAAATAAATAATCGGGTCTGCTGTAAGGGCCACCGAGCAGCAGCTCGCTACGCCTTCGTGCCTGGCGTCGCTTCGTTCACGAAATAATAACCGGAAGTGAAACGTTGAATTCACTTTTTCTCAATAAAATTATTAGAATGATGATGATGATGGTGATGATGATGTGCTTGGGATTTTAACACTTTCATTTGCTAAGCGATTAATCTACTCGTACCTCTCAAGGGAAAACCTTTTGGCAGGCCAGAGTAACGACCTAATCACACAGAAGCCCAGTTTAACAATAACGGACTCTTTGTCGAATGTGATCATGAGTCGTTGTGAGATCGTAACGAAGAATCAAGATTGTCTCGATTGTTCTACTTTCTCAAAACGATGGTGTAGAGGGTGTCCCATGACCGACCCGTTTCCTTCTAGGGTATTGAAGAAAATGCTTTTTGAATTAGAAAATTCAAAATTTCAAAAGTGATCAATTTTTGTTCTGGTCTGACCTTTTTCTCCTTTGGTCTGTTACTACTGATTTCCGTGGCGGATATTCTTTTTTACAATTGTTCAAAGTCTTTTCCTTTTGTTTCCTATTCAACATGTACGAGGGAAGATCGATTTTCGTTCCCGTATTTTAGAATTGGTAAATGGGTTAATTTAGTCTTTAAAAATGCAGGATTCAAAATAATAAAAAGTGCGAAAGGAAATATTCCCACACTGCGAAAAAAATTTCTAATATCTGAAACATATTTTCTTGAGACAAGTCAATTTTCTTCAATTGCTTAATTCTCTCAGGCATCTCAACTCACATGACCTTAGAAAGGCCTCATGCTTTAAAATATTCTTGTACTCAAGTATGATTTTGTCGCAAATGAACTTACTTAAATCGCGTAGAAGAATCGTCAATCTTCTAGTCTTCATTGTTTTCATGATTTTTTCATTATGCACTTTCAACATTGCAATTGTAAAATATTCATGACGTAACGCGGAACAATAGTGATGAATGAAAATTTATTCTAGTTCCGTGAAGTGCGCACATTCTGAGATTCAAGCCGTTGAAAATAATTTACTTCTCTCAAGAAAATATGTTTCAGATATTAGAAATTTATTTTTCATTGCAATTATGGAGAACTGCGTTCATTGCATCTTTCGTCGAAATTCGAAAACGGAAAAATTTGGATATTAGTTTGGGTTTTTTTCTACACATTTTTATGACGAAAATCGAAAAAAAGTGCTCAGATCCAAAAGTGGAAGAGGAACCTTTTCAATGCCCTCAAATGAAAAGAATCGGTCGACCCCCCGCACACCTTAAATAATAATTCATATTTTCTCGTAGCGATGAAAATTTCACGTCTCATGATATTTACACTGATTATAACGGCTTTAAAAATGTGATAAACTCACCAGTGACTGTCTGACTCTGAGGACGATTGAAATTGTTGACTGCGGAGTTGGAGACTGGAGGCGACGAGAAGTTTGGTGGAGCTACCCTGGATCCGCTGAAGGGCTTGGGACCTCCGATATTACTCGACGGTGTCTGCGACAAGTGGAAATACAATTCCCTATTAATACCACTTCATTCCAATAAACATAAAGAACTTATTGTTTTTTACTCTCGTGTTCGAGCCTCGGTGAAGGCAAAACGAAAATAACGAAGAGATTTATTCGAAAAAACAACAACGAGGGAACAAACTCGAGACGTTAGACGCACGGGAGCATTACCTGTACTGGATGAAAACTGGGTGTATCGATGGGCGGAATGCCAAAGTGATTGGTCTGCAACACGACACAACAATCACATGCTTATATCAAGCCACAATTAGCCAAACTGACGAAACACCGAATAGCAAAATTAATCATGCAATTAAGAATAGATAAGTGAAACATTGGTCGCACCCTTGTGGTGATTGGTGGTATTGGAGACGAAGATATCGACGAGGATGACGAGTCTGGGGGCGTTGTTGGTGATGCTGGCAGGGTTTCAGGGTGAGTGGTGCGATGTGCTAGGAGGAAGGTGGCTAGGGAGCTCGAGGACGTGTGGAAGTTTATCGGAAATGAGTGATTGATCTCATTCTTCAGTCGCGTGTCGTTATTTGTGTACTTTGACATTGTCCTGTTGTTATTGTCCTCACCATTTATCATCGCCGATATAACTTGGCTGAATTTTTGCTTGTGATTGGTCAAGTAGGTGTTGTAATCCATTGGGTCCATGTCAGTCTTTGAAAAGTCGGTCTTGTCTCTGCTGGTTGGGTTCTCAGGCTTTTTCACGTCATTTTGTCTTTTTACGGTGGTTATTTGGACTCGAGACTTGGTGGGATTGTTAGTGATGGGGTATCTGGGAATGGCGTAAGTACCAACAACAGCTTTTTCACTCTTCCCATCGTTTATAACAGGATCGAAAACTAGTGGTGGCGATTTGTTCTCTTCGATTCGCAATGCCGGAATCTTACTCGTCACAGTGGGTCTTTTGTTAGTTTTTATTCGATTGTTATCGGGGCACTCTTCCTTGCTTACAACCTCGCTTCCTGTTCTAATTGTTATTGTGCTTGTGAAGGTCTTCTCGTCGAATATGTCCTTCTCGATGCAGCCGTTTGCGTGACCGTTTGTGGGTGTAAATTCACTTGGGCGGTAGTAGCTTCTCGCTGGCTTACCGTGGTCCGAGGTTGGGCGACAGATTGTCTGGAATTCATATTAGTCGCGAAAACCACACACTTGGGTTAAAAATGCAGTAATTTAGGCTGGTTGAAGCTTCAAGATTAATTTGTTCATCAAGTTTTATTGTTATATCCGTTTTTTGCTTTCGAATGGAAACTTTGCAATTGTTGAAATTTAAGTTTTAAATTTTTTGTGGTAGGATAATTAATTTGGTCTAAAAAGTACGAATATGCGATTTTTAGATGATGTCTTCATTTTTTCTTGAAATTTTCTTGTAAAGGATCAATCGAATTTCATGAATATAGACTTTAATATGCTGCATTCATTGACACCAATTGAAGTTTAATTTTTCGTACAGCCGAAAAAATTGAATTTTTTTCAAAAAAATAACTAAAAATTTTTCAACAGACATCGGCTTAATCATAAATTTTAAATTAAATTTTGAATCAGTCAATTATTAATATTGCTCCTCAATTTTTAAATTATTGAATTAATCGTCAATTAAATATTCAAATTGCGAATGACTTTATCAACCAATAATTGAGTTCGGAAAATTGACGATTATTTGGCTAATCGAAATTCCTTTCATGAATTTTAGAAATATTTACTCAAGTGTCAATTGACAATTCCATATTGCCAATAATTTAATTCGCAGTCAATTGAAAATTTAAATTATAGATTATTCTATTGTTTTTCAAATTTCAAAGAGAGAACCCATTCGGAAGCAATTGCTAATTTATTAGCAACAATTACTGTACTCATTTATAAAAAATGCCACTGTCCACTTGTTTACTCTCGAAAGCACAAATCACTTTTCATTACGATTTTCGTCATTTATTTACCGAGAGTGCAGGTGCCACGGTGGTGCCATTGTTCAGTGGTGGAGACTTTGGACAAGTCAAATTTCCTAGGGCTGCGGAAATGGTTCCGGCGGGGGCCTTTCCACCTCTGAAATAATTTCATCAAGTTCACAAACGACGAAATAAATCTCTCGTTTGATTAGTACTATTTTTTTATGCGTCTTAAAACTTACGGTGGCACTGTAATTGGTACATATCCAGCTGGTGCCTGTTGTCTGGCGACGAGTTTTGCATGTATGTCACAGTACAACTTATTATTAATGTTGTAGTACCCCACGTTCTTCAACGAAGTGCCGCACGTTGAACACTTGAAGCACTCAACGTGAAGATTCTTCTCCTTGATCCTCACAAAGACTCCACTGTATCATCAGATATTTAAATGAGTCACAAATGGGTGCAAGTTTTTTACGTTTCAAATTCGCTGAACGAAAAAAAAAACAAGTACGAAGCAATGAACAACGTTTTATCCAATGGCTGCTTTGTAAATACCATTAAAATATCAACAAAAATCTACGTACAACATTGATAACAGGCGACAAGGCCAGTGACGCATTCAAATGGCATTCAGCATGAAAAATATGTAAAAATTCATGAGTATGAAAAGGAAAGAATGAATATGTAGTTTCCTTCAAGAGTCGGTAACAGTGAAGTCATTGTTGCTGAAATTTCGAAAGAACGAAACAAAAAAGCGCTTTTTCTATTCCGTTGAGAATCATCTTGAGCTGAGAGTACAAAAAAAAATACAACATCGAGTAAAGTATGAAAGAAAGAAGCGATGAAAAATATTGATGATGAGTCAGTGGTGAGCAGCCAACTGGCTGCATATGCGTAGGAGAGAGGAAAGTAATTGAAAAGTCATGAGAATAAAGTAACAGAAAAATAAAAGAGGAGATGTGGTAAATATTGACTCCATCGAAAGCTAAACACAATGAGCAGTAATAATAGATACTGAGTCATTCGAAAGCTCATTGAAGGGAAGAATTTTTTGCTGCACTGATAGAAAGGATTAGTTATTGTTAACAAATGAATTTGGTTGACGGGTGTATTCGATCCCACCCAATGTTGATTCGGTAATAGTTAACGAATGCGTATTGGAGGAGTCTTGTTTGACTCGATTTTCACCTTTCGATTGAACCATTCGTTAACTATTAACCCGCGATCACTCGCGCCGGGACGCCGTCTTCATCCGTCGCGTGGTTAGCGCAGCGCCGATGCGTTGAGCCGAACGCGCTGTTGCCATCTTGGCGCTTACCGCCGTGCGCGCATTTCAAGTGCGGCAGTGAATGCAGCAACGCCGCCGCTCGAGCGATCGCACAGGGCGGCGCGGCGCCGTTTTTCCGTCCGTTCGACGTTTCTTTTCAAGTTTTTAACTCAACAAATTTTCCAAGAACAAACGGACACGCTTAATGAAAGGATTGAACTAGGAACTCTAATTTTTTTTTTGAATTTTTAAGCGTCGATAAACACGCGGAAATATAAAAAAATGAAAACGGGCGCTCATTGAGCGAGTGATCGAGGGTTAACGAATATTTATTTTTGGTCCCTTTCAAATCTGCCGTTCGTTAATAGTTAACGAATCTCGTTTGGAATAAATGAATCATTCTATCAGTGTGCTCGTATAATTACACAATTCGGCAGTCGCAGCCGTGGCAAAAAGTCGTCTCGTATGTCTCGCGTTTGTCTGACGTCGATGAGGCTCGCGATGACTGCTCAAGACGAAGCTGTTCGTCGTTGGAATGGCCGTCATCACGATGTGATGAGGCGATTGATAGGGCTGGATGACTGTAGCCCATTGCACGGCCAATGGGGGTTGGCGAGCGTGGTGAGGTTGCATGGCCGCCAATAGCCTTGCTCACAGACGAGTAAAACTCCGTGCGGGAAGGAACTGTGACAATTCATCAGTGAAAAATCCCTGGGTCAATAATGTCATTGACAGATCAATTATGTTTAGCCAAATTCGGTTGTTACAGACTTTGTTATTCATCGGATTCACGATTGCGTGAATCATCGGAGACCAGGGGCCTCTCAATTTGGCTAAAAATACATTTTACATATTCTCCTTTGCTGAAAATAATATTCATGCATTCATATGAATTATTGAATGCGCCGCTGGCCCATTACGCTATCACCCCGAGTCAAACATTGTTCAATTGTTTCCACAGTTAATCATGGAAAATGTGAATTCTTACACGATGAGTCTCTCACACTCGGCGCAAATATTTTGACCAGGTGGGAGGCTAGTCTGTGGTGTCGTTGGCTGGGGCTTCGTCTCTGGGGCGGACACCGACCTCAATCCAGCCAAAGCTGGGGAGGATGGCGTCACTACGCCACTAGTTTGCACTGGCTCGGCTAATGTAGTTTTTCATTATTTGATTTTTTCATATTTTTTATTATCGGATACGAGGATAAACGTGCAAGTGGTGGGAACTCTTTTATTCATGCAAATTCATCTCTCTCTGTATTATTATATAAAAATCTTAATCGACTTCTTGCGATGAAAATTTGGTATTTGAAATTAAAACTCCAAAATTGGGGGTCAAAAGGGTCAAAAGGGCCTAATGGGTCAGATTAAGGGTCGCAAGGATCCAAGTAAGGGTCATAGGAATAAAAAATCAAGGGTCAGAAACTAAAGGTTATCAGGGTCAAAATAAGGGTCAGATTAAAGGTCTAAATAAAGGTCACAAGGGTCAGATTAAGGGTCTAAATAAGGGTCATAGGGGCAGAAACTAAGGGTCAAAATAAGGGTCAAAATGAAAATCCAAATCGACTTCTGGACATGAAAATTTGGTACTCGAAATTAAGACTCCAAAATTAAGGGTCAGATTAAGGGTCGCAAGGGCTCATACGGGGGTCATATAAGGATCGTATTAGCGAGCGAAGCGAGCAAGGGGCGTAACCCCCTAGTATAAAATAAATACTCACCAGGCTCGGGACTCCTCGGCTCCTTGTCGGCCTCCTGTACCATTTTGAATACCTCGCTGTTCTGTGCATTGTAGTTTTTCTCATTTTTCTTGAAGTTTACACTGTAAAAAAATTATAGCTACGGCATTCAACATTCTGCGGGGGCTTGAATAACATTTTGCCATGCTAATTTATTTGACTTACCCAAGCACACCACCTGCCAACACTTCAGCTTGCGCTGAAAGAGTCTCGGCTATTGTCTGCTCGCTGTAGATGCCAACTGGGCTGTTGTACTGCTTGTTTACGATTGATTTTATGGCTCCAGCGTCACTGCTTCCATTCAACTGTTAGAATATTGATTATTTGTATCAAGAAACGGGATTCAAGTGATCAACGGGGTGACGCATTGTAGGGAAAAAAGAGGTTTTATGTCTCACAAAAGGTTTTGGACTGAAGTTGTGGCCACTACCAATGAGCGGTCCCTCCGGCTTTTTCGCGGCGAGTGATGTCTTCGTAACGGGGGAAATATTGCCGACAGGCATATGGGGTTGTGGCGACGGAATCGAAGGTGTAACAGGTGAAACACTTGGCCTCCACGTGCTTCCACCCCTGGGAAAAATATAATCAAATTTTTTAATTGCTAGGAGAACTTCCACTGGGTCTTACAGTTGTTTTTATGTGAAAAATACATTCATTCCTCATGAATGCACGAGGAATTCTTGAAATGCATTGTATATCCCTGTTATTTTGATGGGTTAATTATCGAAATTTCCCAAATTTCAATAATTAATTAAAATAAAATATACATCATGATTTATAAATTTACACTACTATTTTGTTAGTGTTTTTCCAGAATAGTTTCGTTTTTCAACTTTTGAAATTCCGTAGGTACAGCTATAGTTACAGCCATAGAAATCATTTTGAATAATAACAGTAGGAATCTATAACTATAGTTTATAATTATAGTTTAAACTTTGCAGGGTTTAATTGGAATGTCGGTATTGAAATGCATTGTATATCCCTGTTGTTGTGATGCCTTAATTATCGAAATTTTCGAAATTTCAATAATTAATTAAAATAAAATATACATAATGATTTATAAATTTACACTACTATTTTGTTAGTGTTTGTCCAGAATAGTTTCGTTTTTCAACTTTTGAAATTCCGTAGGTACAGCTATAGTTACAGCCATAGAAATCATTTTGAATAATAACAGTAGGAATCTATAACTATAGTTTATAATTATAGTTTAAACTTTGCAGGGTTTAATTGGAATCTCAGTATTGAAATGCATTGTATATCCCTGTTGTTGTGATGCCTTAATTATCGAAATTTCCCAAATTTCAATAATTAATTAAAATAAAATATACATCATGATTTATAAATTTACACTACTATTTTGTTAGTGTTTGTCCAGAATAGTTTCGTTTTTCAACTTTTGAAATTCCGTAGGTACAGCTATAGTTACAGCCATAGAAATCATTTTAAATAATAACAGTAGGAATCTGTAACTGTAGTTTATAGTTAATAGTATAGTTAATTTAACTATATCCATATAGTTGTGGCTGAATAACGCCGAATAGATCGTTGACAGAAAACGCATGAATTTTTTCAATAGAAATATTTTTAATTAAACCAGCAAACAGTGTTTTACCGACCTTTGCACGGTCACTTCGAAGCTGTTGCCAGCTCTAACAATGACATCCTGGGCGTCTTTGTGCCTCAGACTGAACATTTCCGTGTTGTTTACTTTGATGACTGCATCACCGGCACGCAGACCCGCCGCCTCCGCCGGTGATCCATTGTTTACCTGAATGAATGATAGGTGAATTACAGAAATCAATTTTTTAAAATAAAATAGCATTTTGTAACTATTCATTTGTATTTCCGCTTTCCTCGCGGGGGAATGGAACCGCCCATTGTATTGAGGACAATGCGATGATGAATCGAGGCAGCCAATGATCGATCTGCGGTGAACGACCGGAACAAACTCAGCGTTTTTATTCAACTCCTTAATTTTTTTTTTCGCAAATCGCTCAGTTACTTCACAAACAAAAGTCTTTTTTTTTTGCTTTTCGCTTGCTCTCGTAATTCTCCTTGCGTGATTTCTCACCCCCGGAGACTAAGTTTTCTGGCACGTTGCCAAATTGTCCAGAATATACGAGCGTTCGCCTGTGTGGCCGTAAAATGCTTCCGTTCAGTCGTTATTCCGATCTCTCTTAAATGCATGCAAATTTAACGGCTATTCTCCTGCTTCTATTTTGTTTACCGATTTGTTTTATGACATTCGTCGGGGGTTTTTTGCTTGCCCCCGTCGTATGGGGCTTTTGAAATGCGCTTCAGTTGCTTGCACTGCCAGTCAAGCTTAAATCGTTACGTGAAAAATAGACGGTTGCGTCAAAATACCGATTTAATAGTCCTCGGGTTGGCGGTGGGCTGGCTTCTTCGCGGAGAATTTTATTTTTGGAATATCTCTTAACATTCGGCTCTGCAAATACTTATATTTCACCTATAAAGTGATGTGCAATCGCTGGGAAGAAATTGACTGCATTAGTGAGCCCGAGAAAGTTGGGAGAAATTTTTTTCCGCGGAGAAACTTTGAAAAATCATTTGTCGAAATTTAAACTTGACACTAAATGAGAAATGTGTGTGGAAGAAATTCCGGATGCGGTGCGAGTTTCGATTCTAGATAATACGATTCGAATATTACGAGGGATTTTGACCTATTCAAAATTAATCTGAAAAACCTAGCGAATTCGCGAGACAATTCTTTTGAATTTATATTATTTATGTTCATATTATTCATATTATTGAATTTCCTCGGCTCGAATTTCTAAGGTTTTTCATTTTATTCTTTTCTTTTCATCACGAAAATCAAACAACAAAACTTGGAAAGTTTGAACTGCAATAAGATAAATGACCCTCCGCTCGTCTAGCTAAGGTGAACACATCATTAGTCCAATATTTCTATCGAAATGCGCGTGAAGATGCGATGATTTACATTACATATCAGAGGATAAAACCTTCAGAATTGGAATTTATTTATATTAATTATGATAATTACTATTTTTTAATAAATAATCGTCCATAAATGTGAAAAGTCCCATGTCCCTACGCTCGTTCATTTGTCCTCATGCTCGTTTGACACATGTCCCTATCCTCGTCTCGTGATTTGAGTGATATGGAAAGGTTATATCCGAACTAATTACATCGTGAGTATCCTATTTTGCGATAAAACAACATTAAAAAATATCTCGATGCACAAAATTATATTTCCATTGGACAGTCCAACCTTTAAATGATTTTTTCATCCGTTTAGTCCTTTACCAGTTGACAGTCGGGTGCAAAACGAGCGTAGGATCAATGCCATTTTCATTGTACCTATTCTTTTAATTGGCAATATTTCAGTGAAATATCCGGATATTACTATAATTTATGCTTTTTATTAAATTTTTAACTATCCGAAACCTTAGCCGAGGGATTTTTAATTCCATTTTACTATTGTAACGGAGATATCAACGTTTTAAAATTGTGAGTCTCTTAACTTGTGGCTTAAGAATTAACTCTGTCGTAGCACGAGTTGATGTGAATGTGATTTTTCTCTCTTACTATTCAATAAATCACTCTGCATTGGTGTCTATATCTTTTCTTATTGACTAAAATAATTACTCCAATCGTACTTCACTCTTAATAGACTCTTGGGCCTATCAAAATGATTGAAATGTCATAGTCGGCAGGATCTGAACGAGCGCAGGGACAAAGACGGGCACAGGTACATTTACCTCAGAATTGTTTACCGAATTCGCTAGATTTCCCTCTGAAATGTCTCACCCGCTAAAGCCGTTACTTTAATTGATGTAAATAAATTTCAACAGGTGGTGTGAAACTTCAAAGTTTAATTGATAGTTAACGTTGGTAGGCACATGACTCCCTAACTGTTGCCGTCTATTTTTGACTTCTGGGACGTGGATCGTTCGTATTAGTGAGCCTTGGCGAATATGTCTACCAAGACGTTGTATATTTAAATGCAGTATATTAAAAGCGGGAGAATACTGCGTTCATTCATACAATCACGCGTTCCTCGTACCCCAGTAAATTTGACGAGAAAGGGGGGAATTGAAGAGTGAAGAGCCAATGGAGATGTTGGAGAGACTAGATTTATCCGGACGATAAAATATTATTGCAGGGGACACATAATTTATAAATAACTCGATCTCTTTTTTCTCATCAGAGAACTCGAGTTTGACTGAAACGAAATAATGTGGGTGCGAGGGGGGGGGGGGAATTAAGGCAATTAGAGAGCAGAATGAAACCTTCGGGACCATTCGTCCCAATAAATGCGACTTTTACCGCAAATATGCGGTAATAATACGGCCCCTGATAAATGGGGGGCCCCACTGAGTGCACCAAGGCATCTGAATTTCGCTGAGGGGTTGTGTACGTGCGGTGAAAACGGCTAAAAATAATCGGGGACCAGTCTAAAAATACCCATTGGCCCCTCCTCCTACTGATCTCAAAGGACCAAGCTCATGTGGGGGTACGGGAAAGGCAGAATACCAAGAGGAGTACGCGAGGTGCGCATTCCAATGGTCGAGTTATCACAGATGGATCCATCCTATACCTTCCAAACGCTGGAATGTATCGACCCCGTGGGTTCTCCTCACTCTCATTTTTTAACTGAGTTGGTGGGGGTTTTTTACATCCGCTTACCGCAGCCTGTGTCCTGCTTGGGCTTTAACATTTCAGGATGTGGAGTTGGGATGTTTTGTCTTCGAAATGCTTTTCGAATTTTTGAGTCGAAGAGCTTTCAGATGAGGCCCATTTGACCCTATGTAAAATGTCCGGAACATTTTATAATGATTTAAACTTTCCAGGGTTTAATTGAAATCTCGGTATTGAACCGTTAAAATAATTTTTTTAATCTGGAAAAAATTGGAAAGTTTATTTTGGAGGAAGATTAATGAAATCATTTAAAAATTGTAATTTTTGACAATTAAGAGCATTTTCTATAAATAATTTATGCAGAATCAATATGAAAAAAAATGGAACGTTCTCTTTGGAGGAAGATTGATGAAATAATTAAAAGATTGTAATCTTTGACAATTAAGAGCATTTTTTTATAAGTAATTTATAAAGAATGAATCTGGAAAAAAAATTGGAAAGTTTATTTTGGAGGAAGATTGATAAAATCATTTAAAAATTGTAATTTTTGACAATTAAGAGTATTTTTTATAAGTAATTTATAAAGAATCAATCTGAAAAAAAAATTGGAAAGTTTATTTTGGAGGAAGATTGATAAAATCATTTAAAAATTGTAATTTTTGACAGTTAAGAGTATTTTTTATAAGTAATTTATAAAGAATCAATCTGAAAAAAAAAATTGGAAAGTTTATTTTGGAGGAAGATTGATAAAATCATTTCAAAATTGTAATTTATGACAGTTAAGAGTATTTTTTATAAGTAATTTATAAAGAATCAATCTGAAAAAAAAAATTGGAAAGTTTATTTTGGAGGAAGATTGATAAAATCATTTCAAAATTGTAATTTATGACAGTTAAGAGTATTTTTTATAAGTAATTTATAAAGAATCAATCTGAAAAAAAAAATTGGAAAGTTTATTTTGGAGGAAGATTGATAAAATCATTTCAAAATTGTAATTTATGACAGTTAAGAGTATTTTTTATAAGTAATTTATAAAGAATCAATCTGAAAAAAAATTGGAAAGTTCTCTTTGGAGGAAGATTGATGAAATAATTAAAAAATTGTAATCTGTGACAATTAAGAGCATTTTTTTACAAGTAATTTATAAAGAATCAATCTGAAAAAAAATTGGAAAGTTTATTTTGGAGGAAGATTGATAAAATCATTTAAAAATTGTAATTTTTGACAATTAAGAGTATTTTTTATAAGTAATTTATAAAGAATGAATCTGAAAAAAAATGGGAAAGTTTATGTTGGAGGAAGATTGACGAAATAATTAAAAAATTGCAACTTTTTAAAATTACGAGCACTTTCTATAAATAATTTATAAACAATCACTTGTCCACCACAAAATCATTCGTTGGGAATCATATAAATTAAGTGCATGCCTAAAAAAATCGCGTTTCCGAAAGTTTAAACAATCTCAATTATTTACTTATAAATAACGAACGTTTGAACGCGCAATTTAACTGAAAAATTTAAAGGTTGAAACGATAATGTGATCTGTGATTACTGCGATGGGTGCACCCAATGTGATTGAATTTATCACGTGCATTTGAAGATTTTTAATGCAATAGCGAGTTAATGCACCAATGATGGGGTAAAAACTTCTGCAGTCGATTGTACTCGTGTATGTATCGACCTTGGAGGCTCGTGTGCAATTATTTTGGTGCACGGTGCGTGCGATGCACTGGCCGTTCGCACATCCTCCTCCATTGTCCCGAAGCTTGTGCATGCTGCGTAGGATTTGATTTTGCTACGTTGAATTGTCATGTTGCTGTTGACTAAAAGGGATGAAATTGTTTCGCGCAGAGTACTCGCGCACCGTTGGAGACTTAAACGTAATCGTGTTCTGTTACATGCCAGTGCTTTTATGGAGATTCTAAATGTCATAGACTTGGCTGCTGCTGCTGAGAAAAATGAGAGGAAACGGCAGACACCAGCTAGACAAGTTGGAATGCGAAGGCGATAAACGAGTATTGAAGAGAAAGCAAAAATCAGGCTGAACTGTTTGGATCATTGAGCTCAGGAATTTAATTCCTGGTAATTTTCCGGGATTTTCTTGGGGATATTCAAGTAGCTTTTATAGCTTGGTACAGACGACACTAT